AGGCAGAGCGCATCTGGGTCCGCCGCCTTCGCCTCCTCCTCCTCCCCGCCATATTACGGGTCCCTCAGGCGGCAACGCGGGATCCTGGCAACCGCCGCCGCCACTGCCACTAGCCCAACTCCACCCCTCAGGGCCGGTACTTCCGGTAGCTATTTGGCGGGCAGTTGAAGCGGTTGGGCCTCCATAGACTACAATCCCCAAGGTGCATTGCGCATTAGCAATTGCTAACAGTCCTTGCGGCAAGCGAGATGCACACCGGGAAAAGTAGTCTTCACTGCAAACTAAGGGCTTTGTCAAACAGCTATAGGAATTCTCAAGACCCAAAGCCCCACAAGTGTTCCTGGAAGTTGTTGGGTACTTTCTGCTTATCTGTTCAGAGAAAGCCTCCTTCTGTTTTGTTTGTGCAAAATGTACATCATTCACCAAAATGTTTTCTCTATAAATGAAAAACGTTGTTGAATCCTAGATGCCAACTCAAAGGCTTAATGTTTGTGCTCATTTACAGATGAGTGGAGGGAACTGTCCAGAGGAAAGGTAACAGGTTCATGTTGGCAGGAAAAAAGTCCACAGATATTTTTTTTTTTTTTGGTTAGTTCCTATCTAAATAACTCATTGCCAACGTTTTTAACTGTAACTGGGCTTTACCTTCCTCCCAGTACTTACTTTTATATATGTATAGTGAGAGTTTTGAAGAGCCTACCAGAGAAGTTGTGAGGCATAAATGAGAAAACTGTTATACAGCATATGGTTTAAAAATCCTTTATAGGAGGAGTGGGTTGGAGAAGTTGCTCAGCCAGTAAAACGTTTGCCACACACAAGCATGAGAACCTGAGTTCAGACACTGAGCCCTCTCCAAAAAAAGCCATGGGCCCTGGCTGGAAATTGTACTTCTCAGCTCTGGGGATAGGGAAACAGGAGCTCCCTGGAACTTTCTGGTCAAATCATTCTAGCTCCATTTTCAATGAAAGACCCTGCCTCAAAAGTAGAATGGAAATCGACTGAGAAAGATACCAAATGCCCACCTCTGCTCTCCCAAACATGTGTATATACATCTACACTCAGGCCAAGAAGAAAGAGATAAAGTAGGACAAGTAAGTACTGGAGGCAGTGTGGAAATGAGAGAGGACATGAGGGGACACCTGTCTCAATATCATAGAAATAAACATGGGGTGTAGAGAGAATGAGATCTTGGGCAAAAGCATTGAATAGAGGTGTTTCCTCTAGAAGAAGGCATGGTGTGAAGGAAGGGGCCTGAGGGGCAATGATGACAGAGACAAGAGAGCCCCATAGCAGAGAATGAACCCTAAAACGGATTCTCAGGTCCAATAATTTTCCATTAATCTTGAGGACAGTGTGTTTTGTTTTGTTTTGTTTTGTTTGAGACAGGGCTTCTCTGTAGCTTTGGAGCCTATCCTGGAACTCACTCTGTAGACTAGGCTGGCCTTGAACTCACAAAGATCCTCCTGCCTCTTCCTCTCAAGTACTGGATTAAAGGCATGAGCCACTACTGCCAGACTGACAACAACTTTTTTTAAGCACAGACTTGGAACCCTTGTGATCCTCTTGTTTCTGCCTCCCATGTGCTGGGATTATGGGCATGCGATACCATTCCCAACTGAGGATGAAATCTCTTTTAAAGAAATCTCTTCTTGGGCAGAAGAGGTGGCTCAGCTTTTAAAGGCTAGGCTCACAACCAAAATTATAAGAGTTCAGTTCCCAACACCCACGGCTGTCTTTCCAGCCACCTTTAAAAAGAAATCTCTTCTTCCTAAGAAGTTTTTTTTTTCTTTTTTTTTTTTTTTCTTGAATAAATATAGATCAGGCCTGGGAAATAAAAATGGGCTTGATTGCCAGAATACACTTTTAAGAAGCTGGGTTTCAGTGCACACACTAGTAATCTTAGTGCTGAAGAGGCAGACACAGATGAATATCTGGGACTTACTGGCCAACCAGCCTAGTGAGGGACTATTGTCAACAAAAGATGGCTGGTGCCTGATGACCAACAACCAATGCTGTCCTGTGACCTCCACATGCAGGTGCATACACCTGGGAGCTAGTACACACACACACAGAGAGAGAGAGAGAGAGAGAGACAGAGAGAGAGACAGAGAGAGAGAGACAGAGACACAGAGAGGCAGAGAGAATGAAAATATAAATAGATCATCTTTGAAGGTTTATTTTTGGTTGTTCAAGGCAGGGTTTCTCTGTGTAGCTATGGCTATCCTGGAATTCACTCTGTAGACCAGACTGGCCTCAAATTCAGAGATCTACCTGCCTCTGCCTCGAGTGCTGGAACTAAAGGTGTGCTCCGCCATGCCCTTGCCCACTTCTGTGTCAGATCTAACATCTTGATCAGATTAAAAAGCAAATAAAAAAAAAACCTTTAGAATGTATTAACAAAACCCCATCTAAGAATGCTAACAGAAAACATCTGAAGCTCTGACTGACCTGTCTGCTCTAACTGACCAATTATGTTTCCACTGTAGTATTTTTAAATACCTTTGTTGTTTGTTTTGAAAGGGTCTCACTGTGTAGCCCTGGCTGACCATGAACACGAGATAAGTTTGTGTCTGCTAGAATTTAATGCTTGTGCTACCATGTCCTGCACAAAATGCCTCCATTTATAACTTTCTTTGTTCTACCCCTATAAAATTTTCAAGGCTTAGTGGCACATATTTTTAATCCCAGTACTTTGTAGGCAGAGGCAGGCAGGTCTCTATGAGTTTGATACCAGCCTGGCCTACATAAAAAATGCCAGGCCAGCCAAGGTTCATAGCGTGACCCTATTTCAAAAACACGAAGCTGCTTCCATATTGAAACGTTGTGTCTGGGGAGACCTAATACACATTCCTGGGCCATGAACACTCAGATCTGGCTCCTGAAAGAGGTCAGTGTTAGCATAAATCTCATGGGGGACCTTGGAGGATTCCATGGCAGGCGAGGGTGACCAAGGCTAAAAGACAAGCATGCTAGTCAGAGCTTAAGTGAGAAGTTTTATTAGAAAGGAAAGGGGAAGAGAAAAGAAAGAGACACAGAGAGAGGACAGAAGAGAAGAGGGAGACTGGAAAATTCTGTCTGCCACAGGGGAAGAGCAGGAAAGAGAGAGATAAAAGAAAGCAGGGAAGAAGAGCAGAAAGAGAGTAAGTGGGCAAAAGTCTTTCTTTTAAAGGGGTCCTTTGCACCTGGGCTGACCAGGGTACTGCCTGAGTGCATTCCGTCAGGTGACGGGGCAGGCCAGCATAATGCCTGAATCCTTAAGTCAAAAGCTGTGGTTTTGGTTTGTATCACAGTTGCAAGTGACCGAAGTGGCTTCATATTACCACCACTCCTTTATTCCTCCTAATAGAAATCAGACTTCTGATCCAATGCCTATTTCAAGTAAGACTACTGTAAGAATAAGATATGTATTTAGTGCTTTTCCAGCATAAGCCTGGCCTGGGACACAGTCAAGTGTTTAGGTGTGAGCTGAACTGCCACTAATGGGAATGTCAGTGGGGAGTGGGGTATGGGACACAATGTCATGCTGCCACTCCACTCTGTTCAGAGACCTCCACTCAGATGAAGACAGGGTTCTTGACTTCACCACAGGAAAGAATTTTAGGATGAATTAATATGAAACAGAGCTGTTGTGTCTTCGCAGTAGCAACTTAAGTAGTCCTTAAGGGAAAATTTCCAGTCGGGTGTTGGTGGCACACACCTTTAATCCCAGCCCTTGGGAGACAGAGGCAGGTGGATCTCTGTGAGTTTAAGTCCAGCCCGGTCTACAGAGCAAGTTCCAGGACAGCCTTCAAAGCTAAAGAGAAACCCTGTGTCGAGAAACAAAAGAAAAAATTTTTCCTATTTTTTTCTTTTTTCAATAAATGAGATTTAGGCTGGCTTTGGGGGCACTCTGGAAAGAGCCACAATTCATAATATAAAACCATAGGTCATAAGGGTTGCATGAGAGCGTTAGTGCATTTTTGCTGTCAATGAGATTTCTAGTAAATTGCAGGTTTGCAGCTGGAAAAGGAGAAAGGTCATATATTATCAGACCTTGAACAAGATTTGTTGCAATTTGAGCATTCTGACTTGAAGTATCTCTGTATAAAAGGAATGTGACCTATATGTGCTGGAATTCTTGAGTCTCAGTTAAAGTCAGGAGACTTTAACCACACTGCTTGTAGGGCCTTTTCCCTTCCCTCTTCCCCTTAATTTTCCTTGTCTCTTTATCGTACTCACTACTACTTCCCCCAGAGGAAGGTAATCCCACTAAGAGCATGCTCTTAGTTGAGTAGTCCTTGCAGGAATGAAGATATTCCAAAAAGACACTTGTGGAGTTTCCCTTCTTGGTATCATTTTGAGGCATGGAATCTCAGGAAATTGGAATCTCCCCAAGAGTCTCCTTTTGAGGGAAGGAAAAGGTATCAACCTGATGAGGAACTTGTTCACATGGTTCTGTCAGATGACCTTTCCCGACTGGAACTAAGAGGGGTGGGTGGAACGCCTTAACTAGATTCACCTGTTGGCCTCTATTTAAACCTAAACCTTACATCAGAACCCTGGAAATTGACTTGGAAGTGGGTGTGTGTCACTGAACCTCTTCCCAATGTGACCATTTCTGCTTTTCACTATTTTATTGGCTCACTTAACCTAGCTTTTTACGGATGCCCGGACCCAGGTTCTGATGCAGATGAACTCCAGAAACCCTAGTGCTTAATTAAGCCAGTGTTTAATTGGCACATCTTGAATAAACAGGTTAAGCGTCCTGTTCTTTCAAAGTCACCCAGCCTTCAGTTTTCTTGAGGTCAGATACATACAACGTCGCTAAGGAACCTTGGCAGTCTCTTCCTCCTCCTAACGAGTCTGAAGACTAGGGCTGAAGTCCCAACCTCACCTCATGTAACCCTAAGCTGTCCTGGAATCCCAGCCTGGGGCCTGGACCTGCCCCTGTTGCCATGACAGCGACTCCGCCCTCCCAACGCTGGAGCTCCGGGACTCTGATTGGCTAGGGGCCGGGCTCTTTCTCGAGATGGGTCCGGCGCCGCCATTGTGCAGCGCTGCTCCCAGCGGAGGGTTCCGGCTGTGGCCAGTACCTCGGCGTCTCTGCGTCGCCCGGCAGGTCCGGGGCTCCGGTCCGTGCCGGTGCAGGCGCCGGCATGTGGCTGTGGGAAGACCAGGGCGGCCTCCTGGGCCCCTTCTCCTTCGTGCTTGTGGTGCTGCTGGTGGTGACGCGCAGCCCCTTCAACGCCTGCGTGCTCACCGGCAGCCTCTACATCCTATTGCGGCTCTTCAGCTTCGAGCCTGTGCCGTCCCGCCGGGCCCTGCAGGTGCTCAAGCCCCGTGACCGCGTGTCTGCCATCGCCCACCGCGGCGGCAGCCACGACGCGCCCGAGAACACTCTGGCGGCCATCCGGCAGGTGAGCCCTGCACGCCTTGGGCCTGCTTCGCCGCTCGCCCCTCTCATCCGCAGCCTGGCCTCACATCTCTCCCCGCTGATGCTATTTCTAGAATTCCGCGGGTACTTGTAGATTTGTTTGGTTTATGCCAGACCCTGGGGTGACAGTCTCATATCAGGCACAGCTCCTTTGGCATAGCTTTCGTCGGAGTTGAAAAAGGTAATAGGATTTTTTACCGGTGGGGGAATGCAATTATGTTGCAGGAATAAAGGAGTGGACATATTTGTGACAGAGTAGTCTTCTATGGACTAGAGATGTGTGAACTGCGACTAGAATTACAAGAAACTTTGGAATCAGTGGGAATTGTGCCAGGAAATACTGATAGCAAGTGTCAAGGTCCTGAGGTGAGGCTGATGTTGGATTGGTAAAATAACACAGCAGGTTTGTATGTGGCCTGGCTTCGAGGAGCAGAACAAAATCCAGTGTGTGGATGAACCATGAATCAGGTCAAATAGGTTCTTGTCAGCAGTTACATGAGATCATTCTTTTCTTTCTCTTTCCAGACAGGGTTTCTTTGTGTATCCCTGGCTGTCCTGAAACTCACTTCATAAACTAAGATCCATCTGCCTCTGCCTCCTGAGTGCTGGGACTAAAGGTGTGCACCACCACTGTCTGGTGAGTAGAGAGTAGTACAAATTTCTCTTATCACAGGGCTTTTTTTTTTTTTTTTTTTTTTTGTCCCCTACATTACTTGGGCACTATCTTTATCTCTCCAAACACCTTCATGGTCAAGGTTAGCAGCCAGAATTCTGATCAATATTTGTCTTCCTTTTGCACAAGGCACCCTGGAGAATTTTGATATCCCCCTGTCCTTGTAAGTCTTCTGTTTTCGTATTAATGACAGCTTGCGTGGTAAGAGCATTTCAGTGGATTATATACACTCCTTTGTACTGCAGTCAGCAATCATACATATTGGTTTTGCATTTGTGGATCAAAAAAAAAAAGAGTTATGAAAAAATGTGTGACAGCACAGCCTAAGTACTTATAGAGTAGTTTGCTTTAGGCATAAGAACTCTGAGAGTTGACTTGATGGGTGTAGAACATTCCTGGGATATATGCAAATACTATGGCTTTTGTTCTTTTTTATTTTTTTGTTTTTGCTTTTACTTTTTGAGATAGGGTCACGGCAGCCATAGACCTGGCTATGTAGACCAAGCTGGCCTTAAATTCACCAAGATTGCCTGCCTCTGCCTCCCTAGTGTTGGGATTAAAGGCATGCACCACCACACCTGACCTTTTAGACAGCTGTACTTCTGGTCTTCTCTTTTCTTCAAGACATAGTCTAGGTGGGAAAACTGTGACTCCAACACACACAGCTCCTTCTAAAATAGAAGTTCTCAACCTTCTTAACACTGTGACCCTTTAATACTGTTCCTGGTGTTGTGGTGACTCCCAGCCATAACATTATTTTCATTGCTACTTCATAACTGTAATTTTGCTACTGTTATGAATTGTAATATAAATCTCTGTTTTTAGATAGACTTAGGAGACCCCTGTGAAAGGGTCATTCAATATCCCCCCCCCCAAAAGGGTCACAACCCACAGGTTGAGAACCATTGTTCTGGAATAAAACCTTCTGATGGGAAGACTTAATGCTCTTTGGAATAGAGTAAAATATTTTCCAGAATGTTTGAATGCAAACTCTCTGTTTTCTTTGTTCAGCTTAAGTAACTTGCTCATAATCCAGTACTTTCCACCAAGCACTTGGAACACCCTAGCCTCAGCCCTAACCTCAGTTTCCCTGTTTTTAGCAGGAATAGAACAATGGAATCTATGAAATAGGTGATGGGGAGTCTGGACTAATATACACAAAGGCTAGTGAAATCCCTGCGTGAGCTATTTCCCAGGGATCTAAGGATAGCCGATGCCATCCAAGAATAAAGATGAAAAAACTAAATCTGGGGAAGGGACAGTGGACAGACACCCTTTGCGTTGGTGGAGGGCACATGTACTCCCATTGTCAGGAGAAGAGGAAAAGCATGTGATAGCCATTGGCTCCATTTCCACTCATCTTGATGTAGATTGTTTTAAAGAATACACAAAGTTGACTGATTACAGAAAGTGTTCCTAACTATTTGTTGACAGTGTGACTTGGCCAAGAGTATGTTTACCTGGATATCAGTCAGATTAAATGAATGAGGAAGCATGTATGTGAGATGCAAATACAGTGCTCCTTCTGTTGTGTCATAAGGAAGCAGGAGCATGTCTTACATTCAATTACAGTGACTTTTACATTGCACCAGATGGATTCCTGGTCTGAAGAAGAAATGAAATGTGGCAGTTCAGCCTCCAAGAATGGCAGGTCATTGTGGACCATGTTTTTAGCCATGACTGTATTTAGCTGCCAGATACAAACTGCAGAGGACAAGGCTGTATCCTCTCTCATGATTTGAAAAGACAGTATTTCCTGCTGGGTGGTGTACACACCTTCAATGCCAGCAGTGGATCTCTGTGAGTTCCAGGACAGCCAGGGCTACTTGAAAAACAAAACAAAATGAGCGAGAGCATTTCCATCAGATTTGTTTTTTGTTCTCTCCTTCCCTTTGCATGCTTGCACCTCATAATTTGTGTTCTTTTGTTTTGGGCTTGGTTTTGATTTTCAAGACAGACTTTGTATAGCTTTAGAGCTGTCCTAGAACTCTCCCTGTAGACCAGGCTAGCCTGGAACTCACCAAGATCCACCTGCCTCTGCCTCCCGAGTGCTAGGATTAAAGGTGTGTGCCACCACCGCCGGCAATACACTTTTTTAAAGATTATTTATTTTGTGGCCAACATTCTGCCTCCATGTATTCCTGAATGCCAGAAGAGGGCACCAACTCTCATTATAGATGGTTGTGAGCCACCGTGTGGTTGCTGGGAATTGAACTCAGGACCTCTGAAAGAGCAGTCAGTGCTCTCAACTTTTGAGCCATCTCTCCAGCCCCAAGTATACTATTAAAATGGTGGCAAGGCAATTCAATTATATTTATGATCCACTCAGTACTAGAGGATAGGCTTAAAAATAAAAGTTATAGCTGAGTGTGGTGGCATAGGTCTTTATCCCAGTGCTCAGGAGGCGGAGGCAGGCAGATCTCTGTGAGTTTGAAGCCAGTCTTGTTATATATTTAGCAAGTTCCAGCCCAGCCAGGGCTACATAGAGAGACCTTGTTGGAGGAAATTATATTGTATCCTTCCTTCTCTTAAAACCTCTGCTTATAATTAGATAAAATCTAAGCTCTTTGCTCCCTCCTGCCTTCTAATCTGTCCTTTTGCAGTCTGTGCTTTGTAGTGCCAGGGCCAGAACCCAAAACCTCAAGCAGGCTAAGCAAAGCACTCTACCACTGACCTGCACTCCCAACCCCTAACTTTTTCTCTCTTCCCTTTTTAGGGGCCCTTCTCTCTCTGTTCCAATCACCCAATGTTTGTTTAGGATGCTTTTGGCTTCATGTCCTTGAATATCCAACTTCAGATTTCTCACAGTCAGAGGACTCACTGTCTTAACTAACGAGTGTGGGTGGGTAGAAGCTTGGCTGCCAGCATGCTAACACAGCTGTTTGAGGGTGTTCATGGATTACTTAGGTTCTGTTGTACAGTCTGCTTGCCCTTGGCCTTGTATCTGCCAGTTCTCATTGTGCTTGCCAGGTAGCAAGCCAAGTGCAGCTGGGGGGATCACATTCCTAGGTGCCAGCAACCTAATGGGAATAGTCCATTCCCTCTTTTTGTATCTTTCCCAGAAGACTCCTACTATTATACACCTGAGTTGTGTATTGTGAGCCTAGGAGGAAGCTGAACACTAAGGCTAGGATGAAGGATGAGTTTGCACTAACTGTAAGAAAGGTAGTAGGTTTGGGTAGCAGTTAGCATTTTCAGCCTCCTCAGTGGCTCTTTCCTACCTGAGGCCTTTGCATTGTGTCTGCTGTTTCTCTTGCTTGAGAGAGTCCTCCTCTAGATATATTCCTGGGAATTAGAGGCAAGGGTTCAACTTCAGAGTACTGCTAAAGCAAGCTGAATGTGGTCATCTGCTTTCAGAATGCTAGTGTGTTTTCTGAATAGTCTTTTTAGGTTTTGTGGGTTTGTTCTGACTTTGGGTTTGTTTTTGTTTCTTTGTGTTTTGGATTAATAAACTGTTCAAAAGACAATAAATAGGTAGGTATAGTGGTAACATCTGTAATCACAGTCCTCAGGAGGCTGAGGCAGGAGGATTGTGAGTTAAAGACCATCCCAAACTACATAATAAGACTCTGCCTCTAAAAACCAAGGGTTGAGTGAATAAGTCAGCGGTGGTATGTGTAAAGTGTGGGATTGGATTCCCTGCACTATAACAGAGACAGAGAGAGACAGTGAGAGAGAGAGAAAACGAGAATGTGTACACATGCACATACAGATTAGTGATCTTCATTCATGTGTGTCTCATCATATTTATTTATTTATTTATTTATTTTTGTGACCAAATAACCCTGGTGAAGAAAAGTACAATTAAAAGTGCAGCATTAAGAAATAAGGATATTGTTTGTATTATCGTGAAGGAAATGTGTGGTTTTATGTTATAAAACATAAGCCACATTGATTTAAAGTACCTTTTGTTTTTAATCTAGACAGGTTGTACCCTTTAATATTGTAAAGCGTTGTCACCAGTATGGATGGACGCTTTTCTTAGAATGACTCAGCGAGCTTATCTTTCTTGTCATAATAGCTTGTGGGGAATGCTAACTCTGAGTTTGGTACCAAGTTCTCCACATCCTCACCACTCTGGAGCATTATAGAGATGCCAGCTCAATGAGGAAGCTGAGCCTGTGATAGATGGTAACTCAGCCCAGATGACACAGCCAGAGACTAGGATTAAAGGGATTTCATGTCACATGAGTGAGGCTAAAAGAATATGTAGATTTATGACTATAGTATCAGGGTAGAGAACTATTGAAATAAAGTAGAAAAACCTCTGCCCTTAAACTTGACAGGGGAATCTTTGAAATGCACACTTAAAGAGGCAGAGTGCATAACCATGTTGAATCTGTGGGGTGTTTACTGCACTAGCACAGTACTTCACTGTGTGCTGAGTACATGAACCGGTAAGAGACCACGGGAGTGTCACTCATACCAACCTTGAAGTGGCTCGTTCTTCTACAATAGTCATAATAGTAAGGTCACAGTGTCCAGACTGCAGCCATTGTTACACCCCAACTTATGTACTGCTGGGCAAATTTCTGAATCTTTAACATTTTATTTATTTATGTATTTTGGGGGGGGGGTTGAGTACTCTGTCTGCCAGAAGAGGGCATCAGATCCCATTATAGATGGTTGTGAGCCACCATGTGGGTGCTGGGAATTGAACTCAGGTCCTTTGGAAGAACAACCAGTGCTCTTGACTGCTGAGCCACCTCTCCAGCCCAGATTTCTGGATCTTTGTCTCAATTTCCTCATCTGAAAAATGGGGATGTTACCAGTACTTGCTTAATAGTGTTTGTTGTAAGAATCAAGTGAGTCAATACATTTAAAACACCAAAATTCCTGGAAACCAGAAAAAGCTAATAAATAGTAACTATTTAACTTTATCATCATCATTTTTAACATTTCCTTTGTTATGTGTTAAGGCTTTTTACTATGTACTGTGTATGTTTGCAATAAACCAAAATGAAAAGCTATGATCATTATGAGCATTTCCTGTGTTCATTGTGATGAGGATACCAAGGAGACATACATCTGTGTTTCTAAGTTAAATATATATATTTTAGTATATATTCACCTATGTCCTAAACAGAGAACTCTACTATTGAGCTACAGTGGGAGCCTAAATTCTTTCTCTATAAATTCTAATATACCTTATTAAGCTTATCAACTTTGTGGCATATGACCAGTGCTACAGACATGACCAAACAGTTGTCTCCTAGTCTTGGTGTTTCTCAGAGAGGATGAGGTTAAACCAACACAGTCCTGATTCATCTTGTTTATATCAGAGTTGTGAAACAGCTATCTACTGGGAAGCACAGGGCAGTGACCAGCTTTTCCAATAACAGAGTAGACACGCTGTAGAGTCTGTTTAAATGTTCAAAGCTGCCATAACCCAGAGAAAGATTGGGGGCAGAAGTCTCCTCCTCTTCCTTCTACTATGACAGTGGGAAGAGTGAAAGCTAGCAAGGACTTGACAAGTGTGAGAGTTGAGATAACATTAACATCCATGGGAAACAAGTTCATCTGGGGGCTGCCTAGACGAGAAAAGGGACAACAGTCTATAAGGGCAGCTGTCTGCTTCACCAGCCAAGTTGCTTTTCCTTCATGTTTAGAGATAAATGCTATCTGTAGCTGTTGACATTAATATTGTTGATGTTTTTGTTAAGGCAGCTAAGAATGGAGCAACGGGTGTGGAGTTGGACATCGAGTTTACTTCTGACGGAGTTCCTGTCTTGATGCACGATAACACAGTAGATAGGACAACAGACGGGTCTGGCCGACTATGTGATCTGACATTTGAACAAGTTAGGAAACTTAACCCTGCAGCAAATCACAGACTCAGGTGAGTCACTGATGTCATTTCACAGGTCCTTCAGGTATCATGGTGGTCACAGGTGGACACTGACACCTTCTAAGTGTGTCTATTCCAGGAAAGGCTTTTCATTTGAACTTAACAGGCTTCCCAAGTAGTGAGCACACACCAGCAACAACAGAGATGTTGTTTGTGTATTTAACCCTTTCCCGTTAAGGGATATCAGCCTGTGCAGCATTCTCAGGATAGTACAGTCTGAGTTCTCATCACTAACTGAAGCCTACTCTCTGCCATCCTACATTAGGATCAGAGGCTGAAAGCAATGCCTTCAGATACACCAACTCATTCTTTAAGCTGGTCAAGTAACCAACTCACCAGATCCTTGCAATAAACTTCTGAGGAATCAGAGACTGTAAGGAGTAGAAATATCTTAGTAACTTCCAAAGTAACTACCATTGTCCCTTCAGTGGTAAATACTCTGTTCATACAGTCTAGTACAAAGACTGTTAAGATCTTGGCATGGTTGCTACAGCTGAGGAATGGAATTGTTCACTCAAGTGTAGATAAATATTTACACTTAAGAGACAGTAGGTAGCTTCATGTAGAGTTACATAAATCTTGCTTACAGATACTTCTGGAAAACTTAAATGAGCTATTCAAGAGTCAATAATGAGTTCATATAAAAGCTAAGATTAGAGTCTTGATATCCCAGTTTCAATTCAAAGAAACACAGAGCATACCCTATTGTCTCTGGTTGCCTATTGCGGTAAATAAGGATCAGGATAAACAAATAGGCCGAATAGATGTTTATTCAGGGAGAAATAACTTACAACCTAGACAGATGAACACCAGGAAATTCAACCCGATCCTCTCCTGTCCGAGTCACGCCAGCAAGAGAGAGCGCCTTCCTGGCCCCCTCCGACCTCCTTCCTCAGGTCCTCTCCGCCCATCGCTCCACCCCCCAATGGGCGTGGTCAGTGCTACAGAAGGACTACCTCACTACAGTTGCCCTTCATGACTCTTAACTCTGTAAAACTGAAAATGTGTTTAGATGTCTAACTAGATGATGTCCTCTCATATCATCTGTATATGTGTGCATGAATACATGCACATACACGCATACATGCAGGCACCCGTGCACAAATACATGTTCAGAGCTATTTTTTGTAAGATGTTCCAGAAGAGCTCTGTTGTGAATCCTCTGGAAGATAAGCAGTCTGCACCAATCATTACCTTTGACTCAGCATGTATGATTCCCAGAACCACTGAACCCTCCCTTCCCTCCGCTAGAGGTGTCCACACCCTGATAATTGAAACACCAGGTGAGGTGCTTTGAAATTGGACTGTTTAAATCCCTCCCCTTCTGTCTTTGTAATGTTTCTATGTAATTACTGTTCTTTTATGTATAAAGGTGCTTTGTCTGCATGTGTGTCTCTGTATCAAACACGTGTAAAGCCCACAGAGGTTAGAAGAGAGTGTCAACTCTCCTAAGATGGAGTTATAGACAATTGTGAGTGGCTATGTAGGTAGTGGGACTCAAACTTGGGTCCTTTGGAAGAACAGTCGTTACTTTTAATTTCTGAGCCATCTCTCCAGCCCCCTGTCTTCATTGTGATAATAAAAACATGCTCTCATTGTTTTTAATGTAATGCCAGCTCCCTGGCATTACATTACAGTGGCCAATACTCCTTGGATATTGATTGTCTGACCCAGACAATCCGATGACTCAGACTTAAAAGAAATCAAATTCAAAGCAAACTGTCCTGGTGCTAGAAAGAATATCAATAACCTGAAGATCCAGAGCCCACTCTCTGAAATTTTTCTTCCTGTTATCAAGTACTCGTTGTTCTTCTGTATTTGAGGGGAAGGCTGGCATTAATATAAAATAAGTAGCCATTAGGAAGATGTCAGGTTCAAAATGGTTGGCCATCAAGCCTAACAACCTGAGTTCTAGCTTCAGGACCCACATCACATCACTGTAGAAAGAGAACACAGATTTCCAGAACTCTTTCTCTGACCTCCACATATGTTCCATGGCATGTATGCCTCCCTTCCCCTTAAATAAATAGATGTAATAGCTGGGCAGTGGTGGCCCATGCCTTTAATCACAGCATTTGGGAGGCAGAGGCAGTCAGATCTCTGTGAGTTCAAGGCCAGCCTGGTCTACAGAGCAAGTTCCTGGCAGCCAGGGCTACACAGAGAAACCCTGTCTCAAAAAGCCAAAATATATAAATGAATAAATGTAATAAAAATTGTTTTAGGATGCCAGGTTAAAGTTAACACAATAAAAAGTGCTTAGGGTCATTATCACCATTTGGAATCTGCAAAGAGGGTATAGTATTAGAGTAACATCTTAATGTCTTTCAAATTGAGTGTGTGTGTGTGTGTGTGTGTGTGTGTGTTTGTGTGTGTGTTATACAATGTTTGTCTGTGCACCATGTGTGTACAGTGCTTAAGGAGTCTAGAAGAGGGCAGCAGGTCCTCTAGAACTGGAGATACAGCCAATTGTGACCTGCCATGTGATTGTTGGGAGCAATGAATCAAGCCCAGGTCCTCTGGAAGAGCAGCCAGTGGTCTTAACCACTGAGCCATCTCTGCAGCCCCACATAACTACTCTTGATCCCACATTATAATGGATAGCCTCCCTAATGATCAACTGCAAATGAAGTACTTGGCTTAATTTAGAACCATGTTTCCGGAAAAACAGGTGTTTTAACTCTAGCTAGTTATGTGTAATGGTGCAGTAGCCTGTGCCTGTAATCCTGTACTTAGCAGGAGGGACAGAAATTCCAGCCAGCCTGGACTACAGAGTGAGGCCTTGTCTCAGCAAAACAAAATAAGGCAGGTGTGTGTGTCAAGAGAACAGCAAGCTTAGAATTCCTTCTCCATAGAGTGGACAATAGCCCAAATGGCTGGTGGAATTTTATGTAACATGCTCTTTTTCAAGCCAAGATCTGATAGGTAATAGGTTGGAATGGGCACAAATTAAACTGTGTAGAGTGAAACTTCATTATGAAAGGAAGCTGATTTGTTGTGTATCAGGCACTTAAGTTTCAGTTCCTTTAGCAGAATATATATATTCTTTTAGATCAATGGTACTCAACCTTCTAATACAGTTCTTCATGTTGTGGTGACCCCCAACCATAAAATGGTTTTTGTTTCTATTTCATAACTGTAATTTTGCTACTTTTATGAATTGTAATCTGAACATTGCATTTTTTGATGGTCATTTGACCCCAAACAAAGAACCACAGGTTGAGAACCACTGTTTTAGACAAACTACTGCATAGCAGTACAGTTAATAGACATATGTGCTGGGATTGTTTTCCCTACATAAGGAAGAATTAGCTTAAAATCAAGTCCCTGCATTCTCCAAATGTGGGTATGGTCTGCCCTTTAATGATCAGATTACTTACTAATACATTATTACCAATTCTGTGGCATGCTATCATTTACATGGGTTTTGCTGTTGCTGTTGCTCTTTGGTTCAGGTACCCATAGAAAATTATCTGGCTGTGGTGTGATTGAAGAAGGGGAAAGCACTCTTGGCATTGGTTTGGAAGCCATTTGTGAAATATCCATCCCAGCTGGGCGGTGGTGGCACACGCCTTTAATCCCAGCACGAGGGAGGCAGAGGCAGGTGGATCTCTGAGTTCAAGACGAGCCTGATCTACAAGAGCTAGTTCCAGGACAGCCTCCAAAACCACAGAGAAACCCTGTCTCAAAAAAACAAAAAAAAAAAAAAAAAAAAAAAAAAAAAGCAACAACAACAAAATATCCATCCCAATAAACCTTGCTGTTTTTTCTATACTCCCTGCTGTGAGCCGTTTCTTTCTCCTCTCTTGCAGAAATGAGTTCCCTGATGAAAAGATCCCTACCTTGAAGGAAGCCATTACAGAGTGCCTCAGCCACAACCTCACAATCTTCTTCGATGTCAAAGGCCATGCAGATATGGTACAATTTATTCCATGCACTTTCCTTTTTTAAAAAAGATATATCATTTCCAAAGCTAACCATCTATTTTGTTATTTATTCTTTTTCCTTATTTTTATGTTATACTATAGTTACTTAATGGAAGTATAAAGTGCAGTTTACATATTTTACATTTGGAAAATGTTTTCCCTTTATGGAGCCCTTTAACAATTACTGCAAGTCTTCAGCCAGTAGAGTAGCAGGGTCAGGTTTTATAGAACATATTTCCCAAAGGTGTGATGTGAACAGTAAAGAGGTTCTTCTGCAGCAGACACTCCCTGCACAGGAAGGAGCTGAGGGATTGCACACGGGCCAGCTCTTCACATCTGCTCATAGGCTGAGGGTGCTGCCTAGGGACCTGCACTTCATTTAAAAGGGACCGCTGTACTCAGAGCTTCTGGCAGCCCAAAGGACAGACATGTCCCTCGCTCTCAGTTCTTTTACTCAGTGAGTTGGACATCTGTACTTTTCTCAAAAGATTGCTGCATTTTCCTCAGATGTGTATGAAATTTCTAAAACAAAATTTGGAACATGGGCTTGTGTCCACAAAAGCATGTTGCAGTGGAAATCACTAGTAAAACACAGTTCTGATAACATGGGTTGTCTAATAACCAGCTTTTCCAAAACAAATACTTGTCCCTCACTCGGACGATGTGAGTGTTTTTTCCTGTGGTCATAGTTGTTAGTGCTCATCACTGGAGAATTCTTACTAATCCCAGGAAATAATTTAAATCAATTGTTAGAACCGTAAGTATGGTGGGATGGTGGTGGTGGGTGCCTTTAATCCTAGCCCTTAGTGCTGTGTGAGTTTGAGGCCAGTCTTGTCTACAGAGCTAGTTCCAGGGCAGCTAGAAATACACAGAGAAACCCTGTCTCAAAACACCAAAAAAAAAAAAAAAAAAAAAGAAAGAGAGAGAGAGAGAGACAGAGAGCCATAGTATCATCATAAGTGCACTTGAATTTTGCCACAGTAAGCGCCATTTTTAAGGAAAGAGGAGTATTATTCTAGTAAACTCATGGTTATAAGTATATAAGAACTTAGGTTTTCCTGCCAATCAGAATCCCCTAAAGTACCTATTCTACTTAAATAGTCAGACTTTAGCATTTTATAGGCCACTTCAGTGGAGGAATACTGAAGATGTTGAACATGGGGCCAAGTGAGTCTCTAAATATTTATTTGTATATTTGGTATTCAGGATTGAACCTAGGGCCTCACATATGCTAAACATGTGTCAAGCACCTCAGGCTTTGTTGCTGGTATTGTGTTGTTGCCCATGTATGGGAGTGCTGTTCTTCCTTCCTGTATGGTTTTGTCTTTTTGTTGTTGTTGTTTTAATGGGGGGAGTGGGAAAAGGTGTAAGAAGAAACTGTATGAAACCCTTCAGCCCCTTGTTTCCAGATGGGTGCTTAAAGTGTTCAGTTGCATAGAACACAATGATCTCATTGACCGAGATGGCAGTACAGGGGCAGGTGTTGGCAAGAAACCCAAGTTAGTAGAGCCCTGGAGCCAAGGGTACAGACTTTGGAGTCTGACAGACCTTGACTGAGTGTGTACTTGCTACAGGGTAAGCTCGACATGCTCCACTTTCCTTGTGGATAAAATGGGAATAGCGAAATGGCCATATAAGGTTGTGAGAATTTAAGTTTTCTCCAAGTTCATTAGTGAAGGGAGGCAGGACACATGTAAGTAACTTCTGCGTTCCTCTCTACGTTGGGGAGTGTGTCATGTTCCAGAATCATCAGTGTTCAACAGTGGTGACATCTGTGGTATCTGGTGACTCTGTGTTAGCGGCCACTGACAGGCATTTACAAGGTTAGGGATGTCAGTTCGGAAACACTGTTCTTTCTCCCTTGTTTATTAGCTGGGCTGCTGTGGAAACAGACCTGTGTTCCACTTGGGGAGATTGAGAGTCTTCAGCCCTTCCCACCTTCCTCACCTGCACTGCTTCCTCTGCGTCCTCCGTGGTGGGTGATGGGTCCTTTCAGTCCTCTGCCCTGAGAAAATCACCCTCTGGATGCCCCAGTTGGAAGCCTCAGGCTTCTTCCAGGCTAGGGAGAGTGAGGGCATGAAAGAACTCTTCCTACTGGCTAAACCAGAGTCTGGGGAAGGGTGTTTGCAGTTTTGCTTTCAGCCTTCTGTGGCCTGTAGCCTGCCCTGCTGCCCCAAAGTGTGGTTCTTGGTGAACCTTTCAACATGGTGGCAGTACAGCAGTGTCTGTCTGCTTCCTCCTGCTGCTGTGAGTTTAACATGTACCTCCGTGTCAGTGACGGTAGCCACTGCTTTCAGCGTCCCCATATGCAGTATTAGCACACTTCTGATTTAGTGACTAGCATTTGCACTTAACTACATGAATCTCTATTGTACAGGCTTCTGCTGCTCTAAAGAATATGTACATAGAATTTCCACAGCTGTACAATAACAGTATGGTCTGCTCATTCTTGCCAGAAGTCATCTATAAGGTAAGTCAGACTTTTGTATGTCACATTGGATTAGTTCCTGGAGGTAATAGCAGTGGGCTCTGAGCATAAGATAGATGCCTGTCCCACTGAACTGAATACAGGCGTTCTTTATGAGCAGGGAAGTCTCTCAGGTGCTCTCTTGCTGCTCTTTCACAAGCATGGCCCCTCTTTGAGGCATCTTCTCTTAGCAAGCACTTTACAGGCTCATTTGTATCACCTTGATAAACATCATCAGAAAAAACACGAGTCCACAGCCCTGTTTCCCAAAAAGTAACATTAAATGTGCCTTTAAAACAACTCTTGCCAGTATGACGGGACACATCCATAATCCCAGCATTTGGAAGAATGAGGCAGGAGGAATTGCATTTGTGGTCTACCTTGCTGTATAGTAAAATCCTGTCTCAAACAACAATAGCAAAAACTGTCTATAGTGTTTCAGATGCACATAGAAAAGGTTAATACACGAATCCCCTTTAGCCATGACCTTGCTTATTTCCTCTCTGTCCCATTGATCTTCCCCAATAAACCCTTGTTTAGTGTCATCAAATATCAGAAAAATAGAAATTTTCATGTCTCAGGGGTTCCATGAATGCTTTTAACTTTTTTCAAATAAGAATTAGTTATTTATATTTTTAAAAATTGTTCATTTGCATCAATACCTAAATAAGGTATCTCCCCCGGCATGTGTTCATTAAAGCAGATGGGTGTGTGTGTGTGTGTGTGTGTGTGTGAGCTATGTTCCTAGTCCTGAAATTATTTATACTATTGTGTTTATCCATGTCTGGATTTAGTGATTGTACACTCGTGAGGTTTTACAGACTCTCCCTGCTGTGTTTCCTGTAAAATGGTAAAGTAAGCTAAGGACTCATGTGTTAGGATTGATTGTTCTCAGCCAGGTCTTGTCCTTGTGGGAGGTGTTTGCCTCAGAAGACACACACACACTTCATCCCTTGGGCTATTATAGCTTTGTTATGGATCCCTGGTGTCCATTAGCTAGATCTGCCAGTTTAGTAGGAAGTTATGAAATGTTAATATTTTATTCCGAATCTAGAATTCATCTATAAATGAGACTCCTCCTGATGTACCATTTAGTTCCCCTATAGACAGGATAATTACTTAGTCTTTCTCTTTAATTACTAGTTTACAAAATGAGGAGTTCTGTGACATTCTTCCACTGTGGTCAACAGGGTGTACATTGAAAATGATTGCAGTGAGACAGTGTCTGCCAGTACAGACCTTCACAGGGTGGAGGTCATGGGGTACAGACACATGGAACCAGGCTTCCCAGGCTTATTTGACACAGAGGCCTTTAGGGTGTGTGATGCTCTCCCATGGAGCTGAGAGCACAGCCTGAGGTACCTCCTTCCAGGCTGCCCCATTCCTGCTCTTGAGTCTTATGGACGGGGTTGAAATTAACCAGTCCATCTTGAAAAGATTGTGCCTTCATCCTCATTGAGTCCTGAATTTAAATTGCTGTTCAGTTAATGTGAATGAAAGTTTATCTTCTTGGCATTATTAAATAAAATGTGACCCTGAAAGGTGGGCATGGTGATGCACGTCGTAACGTCAGCATTTGGGACCCTGAGGCAGGAGGATTGATGTGATTGGTCAGCCTGAGCTATAGAAGGTCTCTAAAAACCCAGACAGACAAACAGACAAATAAAACTTGACCCTGCGATTGACATTTTCCTTCTCATTTGCTCTGTGTGTTTCTGACTGCACCGGGCCTCATGTGTGTGCTACCTCTCTGCTGCTGGGCTCCCTCCCAGACTATTTCTCTCACTTTGATAGGAGTGCAGTTCCTGTAGGGCCATGAGAAAGATGTACTTCATTATACTGCTTATTGAATGCCCACATCTATCGTATGTTTTTTCAAAGGATTTGTGAGAGATGGCATACTTAGTAGCCATGGGGCTAGGCACCATGGCCTTCTCGTCAAATGAATATTTGGTAAATCTAAAATATTGGGAAATTGTAGACTTAAGAGGTGATCATTTTATTTCGAAAATTCCTTTTCAGATGAGACAAACGGATCAGAAAGTAATAACAGCCCTAACTCACAGGCCTTGGAGCCTGAGCCATACTGGAGATGGGAAGCCTCGCTACAATGTCTTTTGGAAGCAGTCCGTGTTTGTGGTGTTGGACATCTTGCTTGACTGGAGCATGCACAATGTCTTGTGGTACCTATGTGGGATTTCAGCCTTCCTCATGCAGAAGGATTTTGTCTCCCCGTAAGTTGGAAGTTGTCTGTTGGCCTTACATGCCCAGAGTGCTCCTTCTGGGAAGGACTGGTTAAAGAAGTGTGCAGACTGGGTTGTTTGCAACTCACAAAGCCTGTGCCTGGTGGGTTAGAGTGGTGCCAGCAGCTGGAAGAGTGTGGGAAGGTGTGAACTTCACTGGTTCACAGCAGGCTGATTAGAAGTTCTTGATTATATGAGTTTTATTTGTTTTTGCTTGTGTGTGCCTGAAGCTCACAGATGGAGCTGGTCCAGCTAGTCAGATTTTCCTCAGTATTGGGTCCACCTCCTGAGCACTGTGATTACAGGTGGGCTGCCATGTTTCCCAGTTTTTATAAGGGTGCTGGGACCCAACTGTGGTCCTCATGCTCGCATGACAAGCACTCTTTAAAAAATTATTTTTGCCAGGCGTTGTGAGTCCTGGTCTACAGAGCTAGTTCCAGAATAGGCTCCAAAATAATACAGAGAAACCCTGTCTCAAAAACCAAAAAAACAACAAAAAAATTACTTTAAAACAATAAATTACAATTTACTATAGCAATTTATTATGTAGTATATCCCTAAGTTCTTGATGTGTGTGTAAATAAATAAGTATGGCAGAGGTGATGATTCACAGCTTACCGCATCAACTACCTTCTTGTTTTTGTTTTGTTGGTTTTGCGTGGTAAGCACTAGAGCGGCCATCTCTCTAGCCCAGTTTTTTTAGTGCATTTTTTAAAAGGAAAAAATGGAAGTGATGGTGAGAATGTGATTACACTGCTAATGATTGACTCCCTTTGAAAACTAAACAGGGGCAGGGCAGAGCTGCAGCAGAAACCTGTGAGTTCAGCCTTACAGCTTCCATCCTGCCTTCTGCTCATCTCCTACAGACTCTGTTCTCCAAGCTGCCGACCTCTCTGAGCCTGACTTTTGGCAGTTTCACAGCTGTAGATCCACACTGTATAGCTCCATATGGCTTCCGGCTCGCTCATGCATTCAATCCAGAAGCTATTTGGTTACTGCTGACAGTACTCTGAGGAAACTGAGCATGCAGTGGTGAAGTCTTGCTTTCTGCCTGGAAAGGACCTTAATCCAGTAGGACAGGGATGCCAGTCCAGTGTTAAGTCCAGTAATATAAAACCACAGCTGAGGGCTGGGAAGATGCTCGGTGGGTAGGGAAAGTGCTTCTTGAACAAGCATTGAGACCTGACTTCAGATCCATGGCTCTCATGTGAAAGCTAGTGCAATGGCAGTGCCTGTGCCCCCAGTGCTCAGAGACCACACCAGCAGATTCTAGGAACCAGTCTAGTTAGAGCTCCAGGTTCATTGGAAGACCCTGTCTCAAATAAGATGGAGAGCAGTAGTGAAAGACAACAGGCATCATCAGCTTTGAGGCCAGCAGTGCATAGACATTGTACTCTGACCTAGTCTGGACAGGGAGGGGATCCCAGAGAAGAAGGGTGGGATGGTAATTGTTACCCTGGTGGCACAGACCTGAAATTCCAGCAGCTCTGGAGGCTAAAGCAGGAGGATTGCAAGTTCAAGGCCAGCCTGAGCTACAGTGAGAACTTGTTTGAAAACAAAATTGAAAAGAGGGCTGGTGATACAGTTGAGTGATGAGTGCCTCCCACATGCCCAAGGCTCAGGTTCAAATCAGCTTCTCCATCAGCCACATGGTAAAGGAAGTCCAGTTCGCTGCTGTCGGGAGGGCCAGTACTGAGGGACTATGTGAGGAAGTGGACATGGTGGAGGATGAGAGGCTCACACTTGTGTTCCTTTTACATGACTTCACCAAAGATGCCTACTTGGCATCTTCGTTGAGGATGTTGTCTCAGCTGCACACCAGGGTAGCTCATTCATCTTGAGAAATAACCAGTTCTGGAGTCTGAGCTGTGGGCCTTTTGTCTACCTGGAGGCCCCTGAGTCATCTTGGACCTGTGAATCTGAGAACATGTGATTGTTCTGGGCTTGCTGTCTGAAGGTGTGTGTCTGGTTTGTGTCTCAGTGACTGCCTTTCATTGCATCCTTTTGCCATAACCTGGGAATGGGGACACAATTCAGTGCACTTTCAGGAATGCTACAGCTGTTCACCAAGATACAGAACAGGGCACCAGGAGCAAACTAAGTTCTGCCTGTGCATTCAAAGGAAGAAAGGGAGGAAGGGAAAGCTTGGGGGTGCTGCTTCTTATCCTGAGATACAAAGTGGAGGAGAGAAAAGCTGATCAGGTGCGATGTGGCGGAGTTTGTTCTTTGAATTGGAAGGGAGCCAGGCTTCGGCAATACAGAAACAGGCTGTGTGGTGGAAGAGCAAAGAGACAGGCCAGGCCCAGTGTCAAGGACGTTGGTGACTGTCTGAAGCGTTTGAAGCCGGGATGGAGTAAAGGAAGTCCACAGCATGCTGGGTTCTCTGCACTCTCCCCATGCGTTGGGAGCACAGGGCCTGCTGGGCTCCCAGCACTCCACTGACTATATTAGCAGCACTGGGTATGCCTGTTTCCCAGCCTTCTGCAGTAGGAGGCCACCTGGAGGCTCCCTGGGAACTGTTGATACTCACATGCTCAATTCCAGGGACAGCTGCTCATTCTAATACAATTGCTGTTTTCCCTTTCTCCAGAGACTATTTGAAGAAGTGGTCAGCTAAAGGAATCCAGGTTGTTAGTTGGACTGTCAACACCTTTGATGAAAAGAATTACTACGAGTCCCATCTCGGGTCCAGCTATATCACTGACAGCATGCTAGAAGACTGTGCACCTCACTTTTAGATTCCCTGGGAGGAAACAATTGAAAAACTGCCTGGAGGCCTCTTGCAGAGACATCAGAATGTTCTGTTAGCACAAGCCCTGGGGATCCTGTGGCTCACACTATCAATAGTCATATTTTCACCACAACAAGCTGAAACCAGGTGTGGCCACCATGCTCCAGGGAAGGCTCAACACTGTTGTCCTTAAAATTCCTGATCTGCAAAAAGACAGGGTGGCTCCGCCCCGCCCCAACCCTGCTGAGGGTACAGAGTCGAGAGGATGAGCAGAGTGGGTCCTACAATTAGGACGAAAGCATCAATGCACGGGGCTTGCAGGATCACTCCAAGTTGACATTTTAAATCTTGCCATACTTCAGTAATTCACTTATTTCCAATATTTGTCGTCAGCTCTGTTAATGGCGACCTGTAGGTGTCAAACTTGTGACCATACTAATAAAATCATTGAAAGGTGAGCAGAGGGAAAGATGTGTACCAAGCCTTTGGCCCTGAAGTGTAATGTGTGGGGAGGCTGCTCTGTTGTACAAGCTGGAGGCCTCACCTGCTCTAGTCACAGTGTGGAGGAAGCCTTGAGCGCCCTGAGAAATTATTGATGGCATCTTAGTATAAGCACTTCAGACCACCAGGGGGCAGAGCAGCGGTTTGCTCGAGATCTCAAGCACAGTGACTCTAAGCAAGTGGAACTGGAGGGTAGGGATTGAGGACTCCTCTTCATTTCACAACTGAGGAAGCACAGACCGTGGGCAGGGAGCACGCTCTCAGGCTCTCAGGCCCATCTCGGGAACTACTGTTCCTTTTTGTTCTAGACTAGGAACTAAATGAGGCATTTATACGCACAATCATCTGTAACCCTCCAAAAAGAGCTTATGGGTGTGTTGGTATCTTTATTGATGAGGAAGTTGAGACACCACAGAGTTAGTTACATACCTGAGTCCGTAATAGAGTCCGGCAATCAGTATACAATTCCAGGTGATCTGACTCAGTCCTCACCATGCCTACATGAACAAATGGGGCTTTTATTGTGAATTTAGTAATTTGGTCTTTTCATATTTTTTTTTTGCATGCTTATTTGTTGTGTGTGTGTGTGTGTGTGTTGGGGGGCAGCACATACCATCATTGCTGCCATGGAAGTTAGAAGATGAGCTGCAAAAGTCTGTCCTATCCCTACTTGGGTCCCTGGGATTGGATTTAGATCACTGGGCTTGGTGGCTTGTACTTTTACTTTACTTACTGAGTCCTCTTACCAGCCCTTAAATACCGTGTGTGTGTGTGTGTGTGTGTGTGTGTGTGTGTGTGTGTGAGAGAGAGAGAGAGAGAGAGAGAGAGAGAGAGAGAGAGAGAGAGAGAGAGAGAGAGAGAGCAAGCCTTCTATCAGAGTTATACCATTAGACCTCTTTTAGCCGGTGATGGTGATGCACTCCTTTAATCCCAGAGAGAGGCAGATCTCTATGAGTTTGAGGCAAGCCTGGACTACAGAGCAAGTTCCAGGATATGCTCCAAAGCTTTAGAGAAACCCTGTCTCAAAAAAAAAAAAAAAAAAAAAATTAAGTCAGGCAGTGGTGGTGGTGCACACCTTTAATCCCAGCAGAGGCAGGCAGATCTCTGAGTTCAGGCCAGCTTGGTCTATAGAACAAGTTCCAGGACAGCCAGGGCTCTACTGAGAAGCACACATCTCAAAAAATGTATAGTTTTTGTGCGTGTGTGTGTGAGTGGAGATCAGAAGGCAGCTTCTCAGAGCCTTCTTACACTGTATAGATCCCAGAGATAGAATTCAGGTCGTCAGGCTTAGCAAACACCCCTCTCTGCTAGGCTCTTAGAACTGGCCCTCTAGCCTCTTTAAGATAGAGTCCCACTAAGTTATTCAGGGGCTAGCACAAGCAGACCTAGCTGTAAGTGGCAACATTTAAAATAAAGTTAATTTTCTTCCCTGCTAGAGATCAAATCTTCATGCATCTTGGCCGAATATTCCACCATTAACCCTCACCCCAGTCACCCTCACCCACCTTGGGTTTTGAGACAAAGTCTTGCTATATATCTCAGGCTGGTCTTGAACTACAGCTCCTTCTACCTTAGCCTTCCAAGTACTGGGGTCATAAGCATGTGCTGTCACAGTCACACCTGGTTCTTTATAAATGTTGACTGAAAGTATCTCAGGTCTCATTTATCACAAGAACCTGCATGCAGAATATCAAAAGCTGGCATGTTGACTTGTCACCTAGCTGTGAGGACTGGTGGCATTCTAAATTCCCCTGGCTGGTTGCTGTAGGCCAGTAAGACTGAAGGAGTACCATGACTAGGTTGTAGGTCTGTGACAAAAGCCACAGATGGGACTGATAGGAAGGGTTGAGAGGGGGAAGCCAGCAGGGGTGGATGGGTCAGCTTTAGCTGTGATGGTACACATCTGTAATCTCAGTATTGAGGGGAGGAGCAGAGGCAGGAGGATCTCCATTTGAAATCTATCCTGGCCACATAGATGCTCCAATATTTAAGACTTGGGGTTTCTGGTTTAGTTTTTAGTGCTAGATTGAACCCGGGGTCTCACACTTAGGTATACTCCACACTGAGTTCTAACCCCAACTCCAAGGAAGTTCTCTAGAAAGATTTAGCATTTAGCAAGTGGCAAGGGAGGATAAAGTGACCCCAGAAAGCATGTCTGAGGCCTGATTGAGCCTTGGGTCCTTTGAAAATGATTGGCTGGCATGTGACAGAGTGGGTTGGCCCTTGGAAGAACTGTAACCCTTCTGGAGACTTGAGAGCCTCCTGATTTCCCTCCCAAACCCATTTTGCCCCTGACTCAGCCAAGTAGGGTTTAAGACTTCAGGTCCTTTGCTAATGAGGCCGGAGCCTGAGTGAATTCTGAGGAAGTGTAACTACATACTGTTAGGTGTAAGGAGTACGGACCATACACCTTACAGTTAGGTACTTCCTTGGGAGGCTTAGTCTGGGCTTTAACTTAGAATATGTATCTGAGAAAACCAGGAGGTATTGTAGCCTGATTTGGGGGGGGGTTGGGATCACTGGCTCCCCACTAATGACATGGAGACTTAATTATAAAAGCTCAGCTAATAGCCTAGGCTTGTTTCTAACTAGCTCATATAGAAAATTAACCCGTTTATATTAGTTTACTTCCTGCCTCGTGGCTGTATTACCTTTACTCTGTACTCCCCATGTTGTCTCCTCTGGTTCCTTGTGTTGCCTCCCTTCTGCCAGCTCCCAGGACTGCACCCAGGGCAGTGAAAAGAATGCCTTCTCAGAGCAGCGAGGAACTTAGAAAATATTTCTTCTCTATACTAGCAGCCTTTTGGAGAGCCTGCTCCAAGGCTGCCTCTAGGGTATTTAAAAAAAGAAAAGAAAAAGAAGAAAGAAAAAAAAAAAATCCATGAATGCAGCAAGGACCAGACTTTTCTATCTCAGGATGGTAACTTAAGAAAAAAAGGGACAAGCACACACTTTCCTGATGGTAACCTGCCCTTTTACTTTATCTTGTATAATCTCTTTTTTGACAATCTCTATACACAGCTACATCTCTTTATGTACAGTTACATACCTCTCTTTACATACGTACATCTCTCTCCTGTACAGCTATGCATATTTACACACAGTTACATCTCTTTAACACAGTTACATCTCTCCCCAGCTATGTCTATTTTCTACAGAGCCACACATTTCTATACACAGTTACATCTATTTTCACAGTTATATTCTCCACACAGCTACATACCTTTACACTAATTTACATGGTTGCATCCTCCACACAGCCATATACTTCTTCCTTCACACACACCTTTCCTGCATACACATCTTCTATACTGCTGCATCATTTATCTCTCCACCCACTCAGCTGCATCGCTCCATACTTCTCTCTGCATATTCCCTTCAGCGTGTGCATGAGCACACAAACACACACACAGCTCTCACATCTCTCCTACTCCTTCCTATCATCTCCCCTCCTACATCTGCCCTGCTTCTCACATCCAAAACCTCTGGACAAATATCAATCATAAATTCAGGGTCACAATAAGAAACAGACCCAAACTGATCACACAGTTTCCTCTCAGGCCAAGGAGATTTCGCTGACCGAGCAGTGAGTAAAGTAAGCACGTGGCTCTGAGTGATCAGGGTTCCCAGACAGAAAGTGACATTGAAATCCAGGACTTAATAAACATTTGGCTGAAACTTGAGGTTCGAAGTACGAGCAGAAAGTCCATTGCTGAGAAACTTATGTCTACTTAAGTTGTTTCAAGGCTCACCCTGAACCAGCAATAAACACCTGGGAATTTGACCTCATGTATTTGTCTCTAGGGGCAACCAGATATTCATTTCCAGGGACAACCAGTTTGCTTTGAATTTGTTCTGAAGTCTAAAATTAGCTAAATTTGTGACTGAGAATACTATTACGTTCTTACATCAGTCTGAGTAATGAAAAATATCATTTCTATTCATCAGAATTATACAGATTAAGCAGAAATTATCTTCCTGAGTATCTACAGCTATATGTATGCCCAGTAGGTGGAATATTTTCACAAGATAAGCACACAGGCAGTGGGGAGAATACCCATAGCTGTTTTTAGTAGCACATGAGAAAAATTACAGAGACAAACAGTTACCTACAGCCAGTGACCCCACAGCCTTGCCAAGTGGGGCTCCCCATCGATTCATCACTCATCTGGTAGGTCGGCCTGTTGAATACTAGTTGTCATGTGCTGTGTAATCCCATGGCTTCTGGCAGTCGGTTAGCTTTTTATTAAACTGATCACAGTGGCATGTACTCACAGAGTGTAAAGGAATATTCCACAACAAGGTTGAGTTCTGGTCAGACCCTTCTTGACAGTATGACATTGGCAGGTTAACCTCAAAGTAGAGTATTTGTACCATGAAGGAGGTGGTTGGGGTAAGTGACAACCTGTACACTGAGCCTTAATGCTTGTCCTCTGTCAGGCATGTTTAAGATGCTTCTTTGTGCCCTTTACAACAAATCCAAGGAAGTGAGCACAAAGTTAAGTCATGCTAAAAGAAACCAAACTGTGGGGTAGAGAAAGCCAAAGACAGCAGGGATGAGTGAGCAAGTGTTACAGCTCTGAAAGGAAAGGTATCCCGACAGAAGTATTACAGCTTTGTTCCTGTCAGGGATGATTTCCCTAGTGCAAGTGTAACAACTCTACTCCAGCAGAAGAGGGTTTCCCTGGGGAGCTTGTCACAGCTCACTCTGCTCTGTTTTCTGCTCTCTCTCTCTCTCTCTCTCTCTCTCTCTCTCTCTCTCTCTCTCTCTCTTTCTGCTCTCTATGCTCTCTCTGTGCTTTCTCCCTCCCCCCCCCCAGAGTATAACAATTCTGTTCCAGCAGGGGAAAATTTCCCCAGTCAAAGTGTGAACTCCTGCTCTGCTTGGCTCAGGCAAGAACTGTTACAGCTCTGCTCTGCTATGGGAATTTCCCATCAGAAATGTAGCGGTTCTGCTCTGCTCCAGCAAGAGCCATGACAGCTCTGCTCTGACAAAAAGTTGTTACTCTGCTTCACTTCCACCACAAAAGAAAGTCCTTACAACAAACCTCACTCAAGAGATTTATTAGGAGGGAGGAATCCAGGAGAGTGGCTGCCTCTCCCAAGGAGAAGGGGGGGGGCAGCTCCAGACTGAACAGGTAAAGGGCTTATACAGGGTTACTTACGGGTTTGGCTTTTCAAAGTGGACATTTTCAGGATTGGGATTGGTAGGGTTTCAATTTCTAAGCTAGCAACAAGCTCAGAGATTGGTTGGACTTCATGCTCAGAGATTGGTTGGATTTTGTGCTCAATGATTGGTTAGTTTTTGTGCTTGGATTGGTTGGGTTTCAATTCTCAAGTTGGTTAGGGGCAGGGTGTGTTTCCTTTGCTCTGGTCTCAGAGCCAGGGTGTTCTTTCACTGACCCCTTTTACCCTACAGACTGATCATTCAGACCTGAGTGTTTCATTGCAGAGACCACTCAACCATTACCATATAACAGACTCAAAAACAAAACGTTTCCATCATTCCCAGCACATTATGGCATCAGCCATGCATCAATGCACTTTTGAAGGGATGAATTATTGGAATATATCCAAGTGGGAACTTCCTTTAGGAAATGGGAAATACACCTAGAAGGGAAATTAAATTTAGGGTTATAAACAGTCCATGATTTATCAGCTTCAAAGAGCCATCCAGTTGTAATGTATGATGCAGTGTGATTTAAAACCCATGCAGAGTAAACTCATCTATCCCTTCGTGCCCCTTCATGGAAAAGGCATGGAAAAGGAATTTTAATGGACTAGAGGAAAGAAGTAGGAGAGGAGGGATGGAGAGATGGCAGGGAGTACTGTGGTGTAGGATACAAGAGAGGGAGTCTGGGAGGGAGTAGCAGCTTGATGGAGATATGAGCACGAGTTTAGAAGGGAGAGGAAAAGGAGAGGGGAGGAAAGGAGGGATAGGAGAAGGGTAACAGGAACAGCTAGAGAAAAGCAGGGAATGAAGCAAGAGAACATAATTGGGGCAGGAGAGGGTGTAGAGGGATGGGAATTCCCTGGAGGTAGGAAAGGGTGAGAGCTGAGGGAGATGGAGAGATACCAGAGGGAGGGGAGATGGGGGAAGAGGACTAGTTAGAGAGAAAATGGGGTGGAGTGATGGGAGATGTCATTCTGTAAATATGTTTCTTGTATTGGTTAATGAATAAAGCACTGTTGGCCAATAGGAAAGCAAGACAGGCGGGACTAGGAGACAAGGAGGAAAGAGGAAGTAGGAGGAAGGGAGGGAGGGTAGTACGCTGGTCGCTTTCTCTCCAGTAAGATAAGACCACGTGGAAATACTTAGATTAATAGAAATGGGTTAATATTTAAGGCAGAGCTGGCCAATAAGAAACACTAGTAACAGGCTAACAGCTTTCTATCTAATATAGCGTCTCTGTGTGTTATTTGGGGCTGGTGCAGGTGTGGCTCTAGGCTGCCAGAAAAACCTACTCATAACAGTGGAGGATTGGAGAGAAGGGAAAAGAGAAACTTTGAAACATGAAGCAGGCATGGTGGTGTATACCTGCAACCCTAGCACTCAGAAGGGGAATAGGAAGCTACGCTGAAAATGGAGAAGACATGGGTAACTTACCTGCCCTGACAAAGAGCAATGATCTAGACAGTAGATCATTGCCTGATCCTGAACTGCAAGGATAAGTATAAAGAGCTTTAAATACCTCTTCAAATAGTGTTAAAGGGATGCTAGACAGCTCAGTGATCATATACTTGCCCAGCACACATGAGGCTCTGGACCCATTCCCCAACACTGCAAGTAAATTAAAATATTAATTTCAATTAGTATGGTACTATACTATCAAAAATAACAAAAAGGAAAAATATTTGAACTTGATATGGAATGTTTTCCCAAAATAGATTCACATTTGTATCATCAATTAATTCTCAACAGAGGGGCCAAGATAGAGAATTCAACAGAGAAACAGCTAACTGGGGTTAACAGCTAGAGCCAATGAATGTGCTAATGGATTGAATAGATGGCCCTCAAAGGGAAAACTTCAAATAAGTATTTAGAAAAAAAAAAAAAAAAAGTTCAACATCCTTCACCTTCAGGGAAGTACAAACTAAAATTGCCTTAAGATCAACCAACAGCATAGTTATCATCAAGGAAACAAATGACAAGTATTGGAGAGGATGTGGAGATGTAGTAGCCAATGCTGTCCCTAACTAACAATGAGGCTGTAGACAAATCAAAACTTAAGTGTGAGTTCCCATCACATGCCAGAAGGTAGTCACACACTTTGCAATAAGGTTCAAATGAGCCATGAAATGATCTCCCCAAAACAGTGAAGTGTAATCCTACTTAAGAAGGGAACATTTGGCGGGGGGTAGTGGAAGGATTCTAGTAGATTGATCAGAGTATGGGTATCAGACATGAAGCCCCTGTGAGGAATGTAAGCTCCAGGACCCCACCCCCAATCTCACAAATTAGATTCTGTATGACACCTGGAACACCAGGTAACTAAAGATAAAACTACAGCGCAGGTGGCATGGGATGCTGTTATACCACACAGGAATAGAGCCTTGCTCTCACACACAGGTGAAATCATGAACAGAACAAGGGTATCTGGTGCCCTGTCCCCATCTTTCTGTCTCACGTAATGTCACACAGAAGCTCTAACTGAAAATTCAGGGAGATGTTAGTGCCACCTGCCACCATACTAACAAATTTAATTCTTTCCATGTGTCTTTAAGTCAAAGACTGTAAAGACATGGGAAAGTTGTATACTATTGTTTCTCCTTTTATAGTTGAAACATTGCCTCCTAAGACATGAAGTGGGTGTGTCCTGTAGCCACTAAGGGGTGAGACCCTGCAGAGATTCAAAAGAAGCTATCCTTTCCCAGCCTTAAGCCACAGTTATCTAGACTTTGGGTGACTGTTGGGAAATGTGATGATTTGGATAGGTGTTTCCCTACTCCAATACAATACAATACAAGACTGAGGCTTGGTCCTCAGTCTGTGGCACTGTTGGGAGGTAGTAGGCCATTTAGGAGGTGGGTCTAGTGCAGCCTTCAGTTTTTTGTTTTGTTTGGTTTGGTTTTTCGAGACAGGGTTTCTCTGTATTGTTTTGCAGCCTATCCTGGAACTCTCTGTGTAGATCAGGCTGGCCTGGAACTCACAGAGATCCTCCTGCCTCTGCCTCCCGAGTGCAGGGATTAAAGGCATGTGCCACCAACGCCCAGCAGCCTTCAGTTTTAAGGACAGTTACATGCCTTGTGAGTCATTTGGCAGATTTGCAAAACCTTCTCTGCACTCATATACCTACTCATCTCATGTGTACTCACAGATTCCACGTGTCACCCCTGATTTCTTGTTTGGCTTGCAAGACTTTGAAGACTGTATTGTGCTGGCTTTGCTGTAACAGAATGTCTTACAGAAGCAATTTAGGGAATTGTCTGTTTTGGTTTACAGTTTCAGTCTATTATGGTAAGGATGGCTTTGGTAAGACAGTGCAGTTTGTGGCAGGGGGAGGGTGTGGCAGATATTCACATCTTGGCTGACCAGGAAGAATAAAGTAGGAATATCCTTGAAAGGTCAGCCTGCCTCTAATAAGCTGCTTTCTTCATCAAGGGTCTACCTCCTAAAAGTTCCACAGCCTCCCCAAATAGTGTCACCAGCCAGGGTACAAGCATTCAGACTATGAGCCTGCAGGGGACACTTCCGATTCAAACCATAACGATGACTGCACATATACTCTGCTAGGGATTGGGTCTCATTCTTTCCCCTACCTCCCCTATATCTAGTCCAACCCCAAGATTCTCATACTCAGTAAAGACACAAAGTTCAGCCACAAGAACTTTCATTACATTTCAGTTTTAGGTGACATGGGGCTTTTTCCAGTTCAAAATCAGAGCAAATGCCAGCCACACCATTCAGAGATTCTGCATCCTGGATTGAGGATCACATTTTTATTCATCATGGACCACTTTTCTTAGCACCAGTTTCTAAACCATTGCAAGGTATGGGAAGAGAGATTTTTAAAGGCCCCATCATGCAGACATATATTTCTTAAAGATAAGAACGCAACATTTCCAGGTTACCTCTTCCCGGGTGTTGTGGAATAATTCCAATATTTTAACAATTCTAATTCCAAGTACTTTGTCTTGGAAAAAAATCCGCAATCTGGATTGGAAGAAAAGCAAGTGTGCCCTCTTTCTTGTAGCCATTTGTACTGTGGGTCAGATTCCTCTTGGCCTCAGGCTTGGATTCCACTCCTGAGAAGCTCCCGCGGCCCAGCTGTCATGGAGATTGACTCATTTATTTCTATTTTCTTTCCCGTTTTGACTGGCATCTGGCTGCCACAACACATGAGAGTCATCAGGCTTCAGGATCCTCTTCGAGCACCGATCGCCTCAATCGCAGGTCTAGGTTTCACACAGAAAAGAGAAGTTAACACAGACAGACACAGTCACATCTCAAGGGGAAGATCAATGTGGTCAGGAAGACCCCAGCACTTCTCAAGCCTTCCTGCCTGCCTCCTCGTTTAGTGTCTAGACTCTCCCCTTGACCTCCCATTGTTGGCTGTTGTCAGGACTGGAGAGGTGACTCAGAGGTCAGAGTACTTGTTGTGGAATCATGAGGAACAGAGTCTGGATCCTAGAACCCACGTACCAAGCCAGGTATCCCACACATGACTAAACCCTGCTATGATGGGGACAGAGGCAGGGGGATCCCTGAAGCTTGCTGGTTCTAGGTTCAGGGAGAGCTCCTACCTCAAAGAGATAGGAAGAGTGAGAGAGGACACTCAGTTCCCTCTTCTGGCCTCCTTGTATTGCCCACACACACACACACACACACACACACACACAAGCATGCACACACAAAAAACATCAAACATCTAGTCTAAAAATATGAGTAGGCTTATTTGTTTTCTTCCCAGCATCCATTCTCCTTCTGGCACCAGCTCAGACTGGAGAGACAGAACTCCTGTTCTCAGTTCCTGTCATTTGCATGATTGTATCATCAATACTGTAGCTGAAGCACAGGACTTGGTTATGGCCAAAGGTACTGTAACTGTTTCTTTTCTTTTTTGAGACAGGGTTTCTCTGGAGCTTTGGAGTCTGTCCTGGAACTTGCTCTGTAGACCAGGCTAACCTCAAACTCACAGAAATCTTCCTGTCTCTGCCTCCTGAGTGCTGAGATTAAAGGCATGCGCCACCACTGCCCAGCTCTGTCACATTTTCATAATCAGAGAAATGGGTTTCTGGATGAACACAACAGACTGGATGAAGCTGATGTGAAAATTCTAGATTTCCAGACTTTCTTTCTTACTAGATTGAACCTGAAAAGATGTGAGATGTTGGCAATACTGTTTGGCTGTCATTACAAAGTGGCTGTTTGTGTAAAGAGCTAACATGTGACCTGAACAGACAGAAACCAGCCTTTAGTGACAATTGTGAGCTTCTGTGTTAGACCAGACCAAAAACAAATTCATTCGAGGTCAGGCTTGCTGCTGGAGAGCAAATGTACAGCCTCCACCTTGGGCTACGGCATTGCATGTCTCTGTCTCTAGCAGTTCTGGTACGCACCGTAAGCAGCACTGAGTTCCTCTAAATGCAAAGGGCTTTGTTGCTGAAAACAAAGGAAACAGACAGCAATGTCACTGGAGAGGGAATGCAAACGCTGTATGTGTTGGCAGTTAGTATAATCTGTGAGCCCACCACTATTTTTAAATCAAGGGGTAATGGTTGAGACCAAGAATCAGCCACAGAAATATCCAGCATGTTTAAAACCCTCCGCCCCCCCCCAAGACAGGGTTTTCTGTGGCTTTGGAAGCTGTCTTGGAAAGAGCTCTTGTAGACCAGGCTGGCCTCAAACTCACAGAGATCTGCCTGCCTCTGCCTCCCGAGTGCTGGGATTAAAGGTGTGCACCACCAATGCCCGGCTGCATGTTTAGCTTTTTAGCAACAGATATTGCATTCATTCTACAGAGAATTTGATGAGTATTTATGACATGCCAGGTAATATATTAGTGCCTGGGGTGACAAAGGTACCTGACTTCTGGTGATCTGAGATGGGCAACACTGACAGTATTAATTTGCACAGATAGTAAACTATGTTGTCAATGTTTTGAGTTAAGGAGAATTTACCTTTTACTGGTATATCCCAGGAGACCAATGGAAATTGGCAAAAAAAAAAAAAAAAAAAAAAAAAAAATCTTTATGAGCTTGATAAAAGAGTATCTATTAACCACATGACATGGGGGAGCAGATGTTTATTCCAGAATACATAAAATACTTATAATAAACAGGACTAGGGGTGTAGTTCAGGAGACCACTTGTGTCTGACATGCATAGGGCCTTTGTTTCCATCCTCAGCACTCCAAAATAATGACTCTTAATATACTGACAACTTATTATAGTTTTTAATAAAATGTTTCTGTCAATACCAGTTTTAGTATTTGAAAAGCCCCAAAACTTCAGTGTCCAAACATATCCAGAATGCAACCCTGTCCAGGATACAGTGTTTAGTGAGAAGAAAGGTATGATATTATTTGGATATAATGCTATGGTTATAAAATTATGAAAGCCCTACTTTCATAATCCACTCATCAAAGTTTGGGGAGACATGGGTGTGATTGCTAATGTCCCAGGGAAAGACCTGGAAAAACAGTGTTAACTGGTCAGTGGGAAACACGTGTGTGTTCCTTGGTGATTAAGAACAAGTGTGCACAACATGACGACAGTTGTGTTCTTTAGTTTACAGTGACCCAGCACCTGGATCACAGTCAGCCATGCAAGTTTTAGATGAACAATGATTTTTTTTTTTAAATTAAAAACACAGAAATGCTTAAGACTGAAAAGTGAAGGATCATAGACAGGAGGAATAAAGCACACCTGTAATCCCAGAATTCTAGAGGCTAGAACAGCATCCAGCCTAGTCTATACAGCAAGACCCTGTTGCACAGAAACAAACAAACAAATAAAAAACCCTAGAGTTTTGTGTCTGCTCTCCAAAACACTTGTCACAAGGATGCGAGTGTGTGCTCCATGGCCCCAACACAGCTGTGGCCTTACCTCCATCTCTCTCCTTTCCAGGATAAGTGCACTGGGATTGGCTCTCTTTTCCATATCCTGTAGCTTGGTCAGTTTTTCTATCAGGAACATCTTATCTTTGCCTTCCTGCCAAGAAGGAAAAATATAAGCGTGGAAGATGCATATTGGTGTAGGGTGTATTAGGTATGGATAAAAAGGGAGTGCAACATGTCCAAAGATGTCCACTATGTTTTATTCTGATGAAAGAGAAGAAACATTTCAGAGCAAAGACAATGAGCCCTGGAATTCTCCTGTATTGCCACAGGTTCCCCTAAGTGACACCTCCTCCCCAGTGGGCTGGAGCAGTGTCTTTGCTAGCTTGATAATAGATGCAACCTCCATTCCAACTTCTGAAGGCTTAGGACAGAGACTTTCAGAAGCTCTGCCTGCAAGCTTCCTGTCCCAGCCCTTATTATATGAACTAGTCTTGCCTGGGTCTTCCCAGTTCTACTGAGATGCCAAAGCTTAAGAATTCCACCACCTGGCGCATACCTTTAATCCCAGCACTCAGGAGGCAGAGGCAGGTGGATCTCTGTGAGTTGGAGACCAGCCTGGTCTAAACCCCTAAGGACATCAACAATGATTCAGCCATCAAAGTTATATGTGGGCAGGTAAGAAGGCTCAGCAGGTAAAAGTGTTTGGTACAAAACCCTGAAGACCTGAGTCCCATTCTTAGAACCCATGGTAGGAGGAGAGAATTGAGTCCTACAAGTTGTCCTCTAATGTCCTGAACATGACAAGGGACACACATGCCTACACACACACACACACACACACACACACACACACACACACACTTTAATTATATTATTAATAAATAAAATTAAAAACAGAAGGTTCAAAGTTATCTATATTGGCTGAGATTCAACAGTTCCAAGAAGAACAGAGGGAGTGTTCCTTCTCCCAGGAAGCTGGATCACTTCCCCATGAGCCCTATATCAGGAAGGTGTGAAGCACTCCACCTGTGTAGGGAGTCAGGTGAGCATTACTGTCTCCTCTACATAGGCACTGCCACCCCAATGTCACACAGACATGGTTGTCCCAACTTCATGCCTGCTTCTCCTTAAACTTTGAGTTATGGACTGTAATATCCTGCCTGTAATATTATCCCAAAACCCATCATTGTAACTACTGCTCACACTATTTCTGTGGCCTCTGCTTCAAGATCACTCTCTACTTCCTACATTGCTTCTACATTCATCAACTGGATTTCCCCAAGAAGGGAGGGCTGCCCCCTGGGAAGGTGGTGATAGGACTGTCGGGACTGTGGTCTAACAGCAGAAGTAGACTTCTGAGCACAGGCTTTGAAGGTGGTACCTGCTTCTGGTTCTAGCCCAACTTCTCTTCCCTTTGATCGGCCAGCATGTGACAGGTCTCTGCCACATGCTCCTGCCGTCATGAACTTCCTGCCTTGCTTACCATGATGGACTGAGACATGAGCCAAAATAAGTACTTCCTTCATCCATTTGCATCTTGTCCAGCACTGTGTCACAGTGATGAGAGAGGTGGTTAATGCATACCCCTCAGGAGTTTTTAAATAATGTGAAGAATTGCAGGGATGAAGTGAGAGTGTATAAATGTTAGTGATGGAATGATGGTGGAGTGATATGTGTCAGGGAAGTGCTCACAAGTGGGTTTGGTGCCTAGAACCTATATAAAAAAGACGAGCATCATTGTGGCATGATTTTTTCATTCCAGTGGGGAAAGTGTGAAGACAGGCAGGTCTCTGGGACTCACTGGCCAGCCTGCCTGGCTTTCTTTGTGAGTTCCAGGCCAACAAGAGACCTTATCTTATTATTTTTTTTTAAATGTGGACAGTCTGAGGAATGACACCCAAGGTTGCCCTTTGGCCTTCACATGTACACATGTACACATATAAGTACACACGTGCACACACGTTGGGTGATGGGGACTGGAACTTCATTGTATTATTTATTGTCTCTACTTTGGAATATATTTGGAAATTTTTTACTATACTCTGTTGAGAGAAGAGAGAGAAAGCAAGAGAGAGAGAGAAAGTGAGAGAGAGAGACAGAGAGAGACAGAGAGAAGCAGGCAGGGAGGGGTGCAGGAGAACCTTACATTAATGATCTGTTCATGGAGCAGCCGGATCATGATCTTCCTCCCTTCTGTGATCTGCCAGTAAAGATAGGTGATGATTCTGGAAGAGAAGAAAATGGCAGACACTCTTGACAGTGCTCTGAGGCTCCATGTTTCAGTGGGACACAGAAAGACTGGAATATTTTCTGGCAAATGCTTTTTGACCAAAGTGTTTCCCTGAAAAGTCAAAACAGGGTAGCAGGCCAAGTGCCTTAGAGCAGGGGTCCTCAATCACTGGGTCACAACCCCTCTGGGGGTCAAGCAACCCTTCACAGGGGTCAACTAAAATCATTGGAAAACAAGTTATTTACATTCAATTCATAACAGTAGCAAAGTTACAGCTATAAAGTAGCAACAAAAGTAATTTTGGGGTCACCACAACATGAGAAATTGTATTAAAGGGTCGCAGCATTAGGGAGGTTGGGAACCACTGCCTTAGATCAATAGTTTCTCAACCTGGCTGCACGTGGAATCACCTGGGAAGCAGAAATAAGCCCCACATGATAGCTGGTCCTTAGATCAAGCAGGCACAGTCTCTGGGCAAGGGCCAGGCATCCGCATTTTAAAGACACACACAATTTGAACATATAGCTAGATTGTGCAATTTGCACAAGTGCTGTTCAAACTTGAAGTGTTTTAAACACATAGTCAGGTTTAGGTAGAACTTGAAAGTCTGCACTGTGTGTGTGTTCGTGTATGTTGTTTCTGTGGACACATGCATGGAATCCAGAGTTCAAAGTCTGACATCCTGCAGTGTTACTCTCCATCGTATTTTGTTCTTCAGACTGTCGTTGAACCTGGTACTCACCAACTGGTAGACTGGCTGGCCACTGAGCTTCAGGGGTCCACCTGTCTCTGCCCCTACTAGTGTTGCAATTACAGGTGCATCCTGCCATATCCAGTGTCTAGACTGGCCTTTGTAGGACCCAGCTCCTAACTTGTGAGGTTGATGCCATCCAGGTCCAGGATCAGTACTGACTGAAATGGTAGGCGCCCTTGGTGTGGAAGGATTGCTTACTTTAAGGGGCACTTCCCCTGTCACGCATACGTTTGGTGTCAGAAGTACAAGGGGAGGCAGCAGCAGAGCCAGTGAATGAGAAGCCTGGCAGAGGCCAGCTTTCCATTCTAACGGTGCCAATAACAGCTGCTGCTGGAGAGTGGGGGAAGGGGAACAAGGAGAGCCAGGAGACCTGGCTTCTGGCCTCTTCCTTCACAATCAGACTGTGCAGCATGGAAGCTATACCTGGAAACATCCTATCTCTGACTTGTCGCTCTCATCTGCAGAGCACAGACATTGTTCTGTGCTCCATGGCTGGCTCCAATAGTCTGAGCCCTTGAGTCCTGTGTCGCTCAACAAGAACAGCCCTTTCTAATGCCATAGGGACTAAGCTGAGAAACCCAGAGCACAGTGAGTTCATCAGCCAATTCTTCCATGCAGGAAAATGAACCTCCACAAGAAGTCATAAATGGATATTTTTAAAAATTAAAATGCAATGCCCTAAATGTCCACAAAGCCTGGGTCACTTTTATATCTTGCTGTCTCCAAAGGAATTTTTCTAAGAATTCTTACCCATTTTCATTCTTTTTTAAAATTTTAATATTTTCCTTTATTCCCCAGTACTGAGGATTAAACCTCAGTTCTTACACTTGTTAGGCTAGTACTCTACCAGTAAGGTATATCCCCAGCAAAAAGGAAGAAAATAAGTACAATTTCTTTGCAAAGCATTAAAAAAAAAAAGCTTAGATAGGAAAATATTAAACATCATTTTACAGAAAAGTGTCTCTTCAAGGGTGGAGTTGAGACCATCCTGTACTCACTGTTTTGCACTCCTTGCTTTGTTTCCCGAATGAGCATCCTAGTACCATTCTCATCCCATGTCAATGAAAGGGTCCCCAACAACTCTTAGCTTCTCCTCCCACTAGGTTTTTTGAAGAACCCCACTTACAACACAATGAGGGTGAGGATGAAAAAAAAGTGCACACTTCCAATGAGGTTCTGGTAGATCCAGACGACCCACAGGTAGCCAGACCTTCTGCTTAGGGTGTCGATCCAGCTGTAGATGGACTGAATGAAGGAAGGCAAACCTCGGAAGGGGCCACAGTTGGCTGAAGGTTTCAATCTGCGCACACGAAACAGAAAACCATCTGCTGCCTGGACTCAGATGTAGGCATTCCAGAATCAAGGGATCCCTTTTGGACTCAGGCTCTGGAAACAGAAAATCTTGCCTGCTCTTCCCATACTCTGCTTCCAAGGGAAGAGCTTTCACTGTCTGGCCTGGTGTCGCCTGCTGTCTAAGGACCAGCTCTTAGAGTGCTGCCACCTGCCACAGTGACCAATCCAGAATCCAGGCAATGACCTAGCAGTATCCTGGGAGTGATCAGAAAGCCTTTCTTGGGAATGTGACTTGAGACACACTAAACTGGGGGCTTGTTAGCTATGGAAGCCAGGTGTGGCATTGTGATCATGTGTGTCAGCTACTACAAATGAGTAGAAGCGGAAGATTAGGAAGGGATAGGGTAGGAAGTAGACATGACAAAAGAAGCAAATGTTGGGGCAGGAGAAATGACTTAGAGGTTCAGAACATTTTCTACTCTTGTAAGAGGAGCCGGGTTCAGTTCCCAGCACCCACATAGTGGCTCACAACCATTTATAACAGTTCCAGGGAGTCTGACCTTCTCTTTTGTCCTCTGCAGGCACCAGGCAAACATGTGGTGCACACACATACATGAAAGAAAGCTCACACACATAAACTGTGAGCCATGGAATGATGGGTGGAATGTGGGCATGGGAAAGGAAAGGGGTAAGGGACCTGCAGCAGCCAGGGGTGACCGGGATGCTCAGGCCTAGAGCCGACCTTGGACTGAGACTCAGGGGCCTAGACAGGGAGCAGACGCTTTGGGGCCGCAGGGAGGAGCCAGGCCAGATAAGGCCTCTGGCTCAGTCAGTTCAGTCAGCCCGGTTTCCTTCTCCGTGTGGAAGAAGTGGTCTCTCCCAGTCTGGGAAGCTCGAACAGTTGGCAGAAATTAGGAATGGCTCCCAACTATGGTGTAGGATGTATAGAATAAATCCAGGGTAGGATTCATCCCCTCCCTCAATCCTTGCTGGCTACCCTAGAAACACGGGATGAGCTCTGAATTAGTTTGTATTTTGATGTTTGGCATCTGAGAGTCTTATTGGCTCTGGGGAGACTTCCTTTCCCAGGACTAGCCTAGGAAGCATGGCTTCAAATGAGGACAACCACCTGATATGGAGCCCGCAGCACCGCCACCTCTCTTGACAGGCTTTCCCGCCGTGCTACTATGCCATTCCTTACCCTGGAAACTGCAATAAAGGCTTTTGTCCCTCACTTGTAAAAACAGGCACCAAAACCTCAGGCAAAGCCACAGTCTCTACCTCCAGATGGTGATGGCCAGGGTGCACAGTACTCCCGTGAAGGACGGGAAGAAGAGCAAGAAGATGAAGAATGTTATCATCTGTGAGGCCCGCCAGGCCTTGCTTGGAGGTTGGAAGTTCATCATCAGGCTGATCTGAGGAGAGAAAAGGAGCCCTTCAACCTGTGGCCAAGGGGCAGCCCTCAGGACCCCACCATGTGCCAACTCTGCAGCCGCTGATGTACAGCTTCCTGGATTTGGCTTCCTGGCCCCTCCCCACATCCCTTTTCCAGCTTGGATCCCCAGCAGGTGGCAAGGTAACAGACTTGGGTCCAACTCACATTTTTCACATAGAACATAATGAAGAGGGTGATCATTTGGATAAAGGGCAGTAGAGGGCAGAAGAAAATTCCAAGCCTGTGGAGGAAAACAGGAATGTCAGAGACCTGGCTATACAGGGGGCAGAGGCAAGGGAGAGAATCTCTCTCTCTCTCCCTCTCTCTCTCTCTCTCTCTCTCTCTCTCTCTCTCTCTCTCTCTCACACACACACACACACACACACACACCAAGGGACCTTAAACTATGACTGAATTTAGAGGTAGAGTTGTTAAAACAGTAGTTAAGTTAGATGGGAGATATCCTAAAATCTAGAAAGCCTATCTGTAATTTGTATAGAGAAAGAAAAAGATACCTTGTTTACAACTGTGCTTATTAACAGTTAGCTCAAAATCCCAGAAAGCAGAATAGTTGAGTCTAGGCATAATGAGGTAAACCTTTAATTCCAGCACTCAGGAGGCAGAGGCAGGTGGATCTCTGTGAGTTCAAGGACAACCTGGTTACCTAGTGAGTTCCAGATCAGTCAGGGCTACAAGTAAGACACTGTCTCAAAAAATAAGCAAATAAATCAGAATGATCAGTGTGTGTGTGTGTGTGTGTGTGTGTGTGTGTGTGTGTGTGTGCAAGCTTGTTTGCTTGTGCATTTGTTGGGGATTCAGGTGTGTATGGGCCAGAGGACAACTTCAGGCATTGTCTCAGACATACACTTTTTGTTCAAGGCAAGATCTCTCATCTGGCTATTTTTTTTTAAAACACATCATTCTTTGCTTGCCACTTACATTTCCTTTTGGAATGTCTTCAAATGGTTGGCAGTAGGAGACCCCAGGCCTTAGATTTCAAAGCTGGGCTAAGGTAAACACTCCTTAAGTGGCTATATATTATTTTTACCCAAATTGGGTAATTTAGCACCATTATTATTTTTTCAGTAGAGTTTTTGTTTTTAAACATGTTGTTCCAGGAATGGATAGGGATAAGCTCCAACAGTACAGGTTGCTTCCCTGTCTCTCCCTCCTGACAGAGCAAGCTGGCACCTCACATGAACTTAGGCTCTTCTCTTTGCGTTCTTTCTTTCCCTTTCTTACATTTTTTTCCATTTCAGAAAATATGTTCAACAAACACTAATTCTCTTGTGAAGAACTCTACCCTTCTTTTTTGACAGCAATGCCAACTTCATGCTGGGTAACTTTTAGGTGCTCCCGCTTTTGGCACGGGAACATTTGTGGGCACTCTCTTTTGAAGAGTACATCATGAGGAGCCTTAATCGTCACCTTGAAAAAGCCTGGAGTCATATGAGAGGAGAAGCCTCAAAGAACTGCCACCAGCAGTTTGGCCTTTGGGTGTGTCTGTATGGGACTATCTTGACTGGCAATTGATGCAGGAGGCAGTACCATCCTACTAGGCATCCTACTAGGCAGTCTTGGGCTGTAGAAGAAAGCTAGCTATGATAATCCCTTACAACAATCTATAAACATTTGTCCATTGATAAGTGTAGTCTTCACCCTTCATTGAAGAAACTTCTCTTTGAAACAGATGGAGACCACTACAGAAAATCACAATCAACCCGATGCAAGATGTGGAGCCCAATCCCAATGGATACATCTGCAACACTCCCACACCTAAGGCTTAGGGTATGTTGCAGAGGAGGAGGCAGAGAGACTGTAGCAATCAGAGGATCAGGGATTTTCTTATGATAGCATGTCTCTTAGTATCAGATGCTAAACTGTAAAGTCTCACCAATATGGCCACTGAAATGCGAGCTAAAGGTGACACCAATGGATGTGCCAAAGTGTACAGAGGAAACCCGTCAGGCTTCCACACAAAGAACTATTCGTAGTTGGGACACCTCAGTTGGTTACAACTGAGGAAATCTGGGAGCAGGAGAGGTGGCCTTCCCCAGGGAAGAGCACACTAATTGGTTGTCCAGCACCAAATGGTCCGCCCAGAAAACATACACACAGGTAGTACATACATGTATGCATACAATAACAATTAGTGAAAAAAGAGACTATGAATTTGAAGGAAAGCATGGAAGAGCAAGTCTTGGGGGAGGAAAGGGAAGGAGAAAATGTAATTAAATTATAATCTCAAAATCAAAATAAATAATGAAAAAGAAGGCTAGCTATGCATCAGCTAGTGAGCAAGCCAGGGCCAAACATATTGTTGCTTCATTTCTGCCTCTAGGTTTCTCCCCCGAGTAATGGACAGTAACCTGGAAGTGTGAGCCAAAACCCCCTTTTCCTCCCAGGCTGCTCTTGGTCATGGCGTTTGTCATCACCACTCAGGTCAAACTAGAACAAGCAAGCACCTACTTGCTTGATATCTACAGCATCACCCTTCTTCTAGATTGGCATATATATGGTTAGAGTAATAATCCATGTTTCCCAAAAGCCCTAGAAAGTGTGTATTGGGTGCCTCTCATTTCTCTCTGTTTGTCATTTAAGCAAATTACCAGAAGATGGCAGCTCCATCCCAAAGGAAGAATTGGGCTACCCCATCATGGGGTTTGTTGTTGATTTTTTTGTTGTTGTTGTTTTTGTCCTTTTGTTTTGTTTTGTGTTTTTGTTGTTATTGGATTTTGTTCCCCCCAAAACTGGGTCTCACTTTGTAGCCCCAGCTGTCCTAGAACTCACTATGGAGACCAGACTGGCCTTGAATTCACAGAAATCCACTTGCCTCTGCCTCCTGAGTGCTGGGATTAAAGGTATGTGCCAGCTAAATCCTGTTGTTTTTAAATCACCAAATAATTTAAGAGTGCTCACAAATGCTATGAGCCAGACACTCTGTTTCTGTTTCTGTGTGGAAAGCTGAAGAACTAAAAGTAGAATCTCCAAGAGGTATCTGCACGCCCATGTTCACAGTGATATTATTCACAGCAGTGGGACGATAGAAGCCACCAGAATGTTCACAGATAAATGAATGGATAAACAAAGTGTGGTCTAATACACACAATGAGGTGCTGAATGTGCTTAAAAATTAGGAAGTGCTACAAATAAGTGAATTAAGCCAGACACAAATAGCAAACATTGGCACCCTTAGGGTGTATCTAGGGTAGTCTGAGCATAGAACTAGAAAGCAGAATGGTGGTTGCCAGGGGCTGGGGAAAGTCAGGGGTAGGGAGGGAGTGGTTTAAATGATAGTTGTAGTGTTTCAATTTTGCAAAATGAAAAAGTTCAGAAGATGGCTTACAAAGTCATATGATGACTCTTGTTATATATTTCTGTCTGAGACAAGGTCTCATTGTTGAACCTAGGCTAGCCTTGAATTTGGTCTCACAGTGCTGGGATTACAGGCATGCACCACAATGTCGAGCTTTGTTGCATATTATCTGGTGCATGTATGTGTTTGTGGGTGAGTGTGCACATGTGTGCACATGAGCATGGAGGCCAGGGCTCCATTTTAGGGGTCTCCCTCATTTACCCTCTATCTTATTTTTTATGGAAGGTCCTCTCACTGACCTGGGACTTGGTTATTTGACTAGACTGGCTGACTATCCATCTCCAGGGCTTGATCCTCCTTTGTCCACCTCTCCAGTGTGGGGTGACAGACACACACCACCACACTCGGCTTTTATACTGGCCCTGGGGATCAAGCTCAGGTCCTCATGCTGGTGAGGCAAGAACTCTACTGACTGAGCCACTTCCCAGCCCAGTTATGCACTGTTAATGAATAATCGTAAGAGCTCATAGAATTACAGCTTTAGAACCCCCACTGACAAAATGTTTCTGAGCCAGACACGCAGTGAGCAGACACATCATTTTCCTTAAATTGTCCAAATCTCCTGCAGTAGGAACTATTATCTCATCCTCACCAAAAGTGTCCTGCTTGTTCAGATAGTGTGAGTAGATGACCTTGGAAGCCAGCCTGCGGCCTGGTAGTGCAGATACATCACCACCTAAATACCAAAGAAAAGCCCTCCCTTGCTGGAAAATCTGTTCAAAGATAGTTACCTGCAGACAACCAGACTACCTGGAGCAATTTTAATGAGACAAAATAACGAGACACTTAACAATTGCCGGCCTACTGGAGTTTCAAAACTCTCTTCATCTACTGTCAACTTTCATCTTCAATGTATTTTAAGAGCAGCTACTATTATAGGCAAGTTCTAGGAAACTGAGAAGTCAGGGACCTCAGTGAGTGGAAGGACTAGCCCCAGAATCCAGGTTTATTCAACTCCTAATGCATTGCTTTGAAATTAGCAGTTTCCCAACAAATGGAACCTGGGCACTTGATATGACACAAAAAACTCTGGTATTGACTCTATCATGTTAAAATAAGTAAGGAAAGAATTGCAGGGGCTCCTCTTAAAGTTTTTAAGTGAACCTGTAAGAAGGACTAGGGTGAGATATCTCAGTGCTGAAACACTTGCCATGTTCTTATCATGCATGAGAACCCAGGTTTGGTCTCCAGTACCACCCCCAAAATAAAGCAAAATGAAATTCCATGATACAACTAGATGGCCATCCTAGCCATGCTGAAAAACAAGGGTGGGGGAGGAAAGGAGGGAAAGAGGGAGGAATGAATGGAGGGATGGAGAGGAAGGAGGGAAGAAGGGAGGAAGAGGGGAAGAAGAGAGGAAGGGAGGGAGGGAGGAAGGAAAGGAGAAAGAGAGACAGAGAATTCTACTTGATCTCCTGTGTTTTAAGTATTGAATATTGGACTGGGCATGGCAATGCACACCTAATCTCAGCACTTGAGAGGCAGAGGCAGGTGAATTGATGTGAGTTCCAAGTCAGCTTGGTTCACATAGTGAGTTCTAGGTCAGCCAGGGCTACACAGAGCTACCTTGCTCTAAGCTGACTCAAATGAAGAAACAAACAAAAGATATGTATAGGGCTGGAGAATCGGCTCAGTGTTTATACTGACTGCTCTTTCAGAGACTCCAAATTGGATTCCCAGCACCTACATGCCTGCTGGTAACTAACTCCAGTTCCAGGGTATCTGGTGCCCTCTTCTGACCTCTGTGGGCAATGCACACACATGATGCACAGACATACATACAGGAAAAACACCTGTACACATAAAATAAAAAGTATTGGCAGTTGTATACTCATTTGGAATACTATGACAAAACATCTTTAGCTAGTTAACTTTAGTTCAAGATTGAGCGGGTGTCTGGTGAAGCTCACTTCCTGGTTCATGGATGAACCTTCTCACTATTCTAACATGGTAAAAGGGTCCAGAAGCCTCTTTTGGCCCTCTTTTATAAGGGGGCTACTTCCATTAATGGTGGCTCTACTTTAAGACCAATCTTCTCCTAATACTATCACATTGGTGATTCTATTTCAGTGTATAAATTGCATGTATCTGGAGATACAGCTTAAGGACCTGTGTTCAGTCACTAGAGCCTACATTTAAAAAGCCAGACATGGTGGCATATGGTATAATGCTAGACCTGGTAGGCAGGGGCTCTCTGGCCTACTATGTGAGTGACCGACTCTGCTAAGAAAAAGAAAAGGAAAGGAAAGGAAAAAGAAAGAAAAAAATGAACAGTTTCTGAGGTACAACACAGTTGTTCTCTGGCCTCCATATGCACGCACACACACACATACACACAGTCACACACGTATATACACACACGAACAACCTCACACACTTGTGTACACACACAGAGAGAAAGCATTTTAGGTAGATCAAACATTCAGCACTGTAGGGAGTAGTCCAGAGTGTTAGAAAAAGTACTGTGGCAGGGATGTGAGGGATAGGGGTGTGATGGGGGTACTAAACAAACCAGGTCTATGGCTACCTGTCGTCTGTGGGTCTCCAGGTTGCTACCTTGCCCTAAGATGACATCATCAAGGTCTCCTGAATGCAAAGAACATTCTAGAACACACACTAAATTCCTAGCTTTCAGACTAGCTGTTTGCTACCACCTACACAGCTTTTTTTTTTTTTTTTTTTTTTTTTTTTTTTTGCTTTGTTTTGTGTTTTCAAGACAGGGTTGTTCTGTGTAGCCCTGGCTGTCCTGGAACTCTGTAGACCAGGCTGACCTCTAGTGTCTAGATAAAAGGTGTGCATGCCACCATGCCTGGCTACCCCTGCAAGATTTTTAAACAACAGATCAGGGACCTACAACCAAAACTCCCAAGTGCACCCCCAGTTGGGTACTGACCAGGGCTCTGCAAAACTTACCAGGTCAGAGTTTGTGCATAGATCAGTTCTAGAACATTCCTGGCAATGTCAAACTCCTGTAGGCTGAGACTTGTGATGAATTTCGTCCCAACGAGCCTGTGAAAATGTACTGCATTTAGTACTTCAAGGCCAACTGAGAGCACCCCACCAACCAGGACAAAGAGCAGCAGAGGCCCAGTGGCTAAGAATGAAGCTGCAGGGCCTAGAGCACTGCAAGTTCTCCAGTAGTTGAGGGGACTGGGGAGACCTGGGATTAATGCAATGTAGTCAAGTAGGGAGCTACTGTGAAGACTGTAAACAATGCTAAAGGATGTTGGCTGCCCTTATTATTTAGATTAGCCAACCTATATTCTGGTTCTGGTTCAATCCCATTCTTTGTTTATTACATTTTTTTTTTCATGAAGCAAATCAGATGAGCATCTCCCAACCCAAATGCATTTTTAAAAACTCTTTTTTGGTGCTGAGGATAGAACCCAGGGACTTGCATATGCTAAGTATGCACTCTATCACTGAGCCAACTAAGCCACATGTATGTTTGCTGCTCTGGAGCCAGTCATGGTTGCTATAGACTTTGGGGGAAACTTTATTTCTCTTTTTTCTTGTTTTCTTAAATATTATTTTTGTTAGTTCTTTGAAAATATCATACAATGCATTTTGATCATATTCACCCTTGCCCCTCCCATATCTATCCCCTCCACCATCACTTTCCTACTACCCAAATTTGATTTCTCTCTTGCCATCAAGTCCAGTTTGTGCTGCTCTTGAGAGCAGACCTGCCCTGGTGTGTGGTTGACCTGCCAGGGCTTACATCATTCTTTAATGGCATTTTCTTTCCTCTTCTCTTACTATTATTGTTTTGATTCTCTGTTGATGTGTCTGATATGTGTATATATGTATCTGTTCATTCATGTGTGAACACACATGGCACAGTGTGCATATGGAAATCACAGGACCATCTTGGTATTAGTTCTCCTGTTCTACCTTGTTTGAAACAGGGTCTCTTGGTGAGTTAGTTTTGGGGGCTTCTCCTGTCTCCCATTAGGAGCACTGGGATTATGGATGTGCTATCACAACTGGCTTTATGTGGGTTCTGGGGATTCGAGCTCAGGTCCTAATGCTTGTGTGATAGACACTCCATTCACTGAAACTCCTCCTCAGCCAAGTTTCTTTTTCAGATATAAACAGGAAAGTTTCCATCTCCCCTAAATTTCTGTTAACAAAAATGTTTCTCCCCTTTACAGTCAGGTTGTGGACAGAGGCTAGAAGAAAAGCAAGTTTGGACAGAATGAATGTTGGCATTAAGCCTCCCCATGGAGAAAACCTGGCGCAATACCGTGGCATCTCATGCTAGAGAAGCTGGAGTGTCCAGGGCTGGGGTGTGGCTCAGTGGTAGAGAATGGCCAAGTCTTGGACCTCAGTAAAAGCAATTCCTAGAAAGAAGAGGTGCACAGAACTTCCACAAGACTAGAGTATGGCTCAGTAGTGGTGTGCTTAGTATCATGAGGCTTTGTGTCTCTCCCTACCCAGCACTGCAAGAAATAAAAATAAAAAGGAACCACATCTGGCCAATAGTTACAGTGCCTCTGTCCTGTACATCTGCACCTAAAATAAAGGCCACAGTCTGCTGCATAAAAGCACTGTCTGAAAGGATTCCTCTAACCTTAAACAAGGATCCTGTGCTGTGTGCAGCAAAACCATTTCACTGCACTTTTTGGAGACTATAGAGTATGATATAGTATGCACATTGTGACAATGCATAGGAAGAGAAATTGGGGTGGGGGTGTGGTGGTACACACCAGAGCACTTGGAGGCTGAGGCAGGAGGTTTTCTAGGAGTCCAAGGCTGGCCTGTGCTATGCAGCAAGTCTCTGTCTCAAAAGGAACAAACAAACAAATAACAAAACACCTACTAATATAGAGGAATACACAAATATGTGTGTATATATATATGGTTTTATATATATTAAAGCCATCTATAGTAGATGATGATTTTAACATGGGCTGGAGATATGGCTTGGCTGTTAAGAGCACTGGCTCCTACTACAGAAGATTCCAAATTCAGTTCCCAGAACCCTCACTGAGTGGCTCACTACTGCCTGTCAACTCCAATTTCAGGGGATTTGACATTCTCTTTGGGTGCTTGCATGCACAGGTATACATGGTGCACAGAAACTCACACATATACATATACATACCCACACAATAAACAAATAAAAATAAACAATAACAACATAAAAATAAAAAATTCAAATAATACACATGTGGTTGTAGACACAGCTCAGTGGGGCAATGATTGCCAAGCACATCTGAAGCCCTAGGTTCCAATTCCACATCAGAGAGAGAGAGAGAGAGAGAGAGAGAGAGAGAGAGAGAGAGAGAGAAATTCCAAGTGACTCAGTTTCTGTTTTATTTCTTGAATTTTTGTTGGGTTGGGTCAACCTAAACCCAGTGAGCTGTCAGGTCCAGGTGGAATGTAGTTAAGTTAGAAAAGAATAACACCTTGAAGGACAATGGACAGATTAGACACACTTTCTGCTCAGCCAGGGATCAGTCTCTGGTTACAGAGCCACTCACAACTGACTAATGTTTACCTCCTCAGGAACTCCCCCAGTAAGGAATCCGTCAATGAGAACACAAAGTCCATGAGAAGGAGCCGGTAGATATCCTGACCAATGAGGGTCTCCCAGCACTGGAAGGCAGACAAGAGTTAGGATCAGGCAGGCTGGTGGCCCTGCTCAGAGCTTATGTGGTCACAATTTGACCATACCCTGTGTCCCCAGAAAACCAGACTCAATCTGTAAAAAACAGCCAGTGTGCATGTTTGTGTATTCTTTCTGCACTTCTGTCTACTGCACAAGGCTTACTGCTCACAACCTCTACTTCTAAGACACTTAATCTCTGCCCTGCCCCTTCTAGACTCTGTTTCCACACCAGAACTAAGCATTTTCCTCTGTAAGAAGCATGGAGGGCTAACAATATTCCTCCTCATTCAATTTATTCTATTTATCGACTTCTTCATTGTATAAATATATGGATGGGAATATGACTGGATAAATGGATGACGGAAAGATACATGGATGGGTGGATAAGTAGATAGATGAATGGGTGGATAAGTATTAGGGGGATAGATGATAGTTAAATAAGTGGATGGCTGGATAGATAAATAAATGAATAGGTGGACAGATGTGTAACTATAAAATGATATATTCTCTAGCACCTTAACTTGGAAAGCTGGTTTTGAACATCTCTGATGACTGGGATTTGGTAGGGATACTGTGTTATGACAAATAATTTGAGTCCAGACATAGAGATGTTATTTTGGCTAGTATGGTCCCTTGGGGACCCTGTATGCTCTAGAACTATAAGTGTAGTCAAAGAAATAAGGAATCTCTTATTCTTTCACTGGACAAAAGCTAAAAAAGTGTATGATACAGAGGGTTTTTGTCATGGGGAAGCTAATGGTAGAAGCAGAGGTGTTCAGAAGGCCTTGGAACCAACGAGGTTATCTTGCCTTCTGGGGCATCACTGTCAGAGTGCAAGGGCCAGAAACCCATGATCTGAGGCAAGAGAAAGTGCAAAGCCATGTTGAGTGTGGGAGAGCCAGGGACAGTCAGGGTCAGAATGTGAGTGTGTAGATGAGCTACATGTCTGCCTATCAATAGAGCCCACAGTGTCTGTCAAAGCTCAAGAAGGATCTGTGCTTAACCTCAGGCTATTTGGACAGATTAGCCTCTCACTGTCTGTCTATTGTATGCCCACCACAGGTTGGTCACAACTAATATTGAATAGTGCCCATCCTACAGATACAAAGACTGAAGCTAAACAGATTGAGTGTATTTGATTGACATCTCAGCTTTTCCACGAAACCCTCCTGCTTTAAGCTGCTTTTCAGATGAATTTCTCCCCCCACCTCCCCTTTCCCAAAAGGAAATGTGATGGCTGTCAGGGAACTAAAGGCCAAGAAACAAACTCAAGGCGGAACAGCACATAAACCTCACCTCTTCGCCAGACAGGGCCACGATGTTGAGCCAATAATAACAAAGAATTCCAATGATGGAGATCTTCAGAAGGATGTTTCTAAGTAACAGAAGAGGAAATGGTTCTGGTCACCCTCATTAGCAGTCTCCCTGTGCTGTTGGTCAGTGTTCCCTGTAGGCATGCAGTAGGACAGAATTTCTGCCTACCTCTGAGGCTGGATATACACATAGGATGAGTTCTAGCAGGTAAACTATGAGCAGATGTGTGGTGTGTCAATTCTAGCCTTGCACTGCATGTCACTCTGAGATCTTCTAGAATCCACTGACCTTCTTTGCAAGGGCAGTCAGCACTATCTCAGATGTGTGTTGATGCCTCTGCCTGGACTCCTTGGTGACTAGCATGCATACAACCTTCTCTCTAGTTTACATTGTATGTGTAACATGTGTATTATGTGTTCATGCCACTGAGACTTGGAGATGGTTGCTACTGCAGCAAGAACTTCATCCGTTCTGACTAATAGACTTGCTTCTGTTGATCCTGCAAATGAACCAGTTTTTCTCCCATTAAAGCCCATTACAGTAATAAGAAATGTGCTTAAAATGTATTTATTGAATGCTCAGCCAGGATGTTCTACTCAGTCCCACACTCTCTTAACCTTGATAACTCTACCACAGGTGGCATGTTACATCTATTTTACCCAAGCTTCAAGTATGACAGCAATCTTTAATATTTACCTCTCTATGCATACTCCATGTATTTGTTAATTGTGTCATTGCTGTGACCGAATACTCGATGAAAAGTTAGTTAAAGCATTTCTGTTTTGTTTTGTTGGCTCAGGGCACAGTTTGAGGGTAAAGCCCCTCTTGTAAGGGCAGACATGGATGGCAGCAGGGGCACCAGCAGTTGGTCACATTGCATACACAGTTAGGATGCAAAGAGATATGGATCCCTGCTCAGTTTGTTTGTTCATTTCTTTGGTTGTTTATTCGCTTTTCATTCAACATGGATCCTGGCCTGCAGGCCTGGTGCTGTCCACAGCTAGAATGGGTCTTCATACTTCAATTAACCCAATCAAGAAACTCCCAGACATGCCCAGAGATTTGTCTGCTAAATGATTAGAGAGCCCATCGAGCTGACAATTGATATTAACCATCACACCTAAGCCCTGACCCAGTGGGTGGATTGGGAGGAATAACGATGGCACAATAATCATCTATGGTCAGAATTTTTCATAATATAAGTTGAAAATAATTGACTCACTGATGTAATGTCCCTGGTACCACGAGCAAGAAAACAATTTCCTGTTATGCACTGCTGAGGGCGATAATAAATAAAATGCTAAGAAGTGGAAGGAAATTGTAATGTAAAGAATAAGAGTGGTAGGGAAGACATCACAAAAGGACAACATGTGAGCAGAAGCCTAAATGAAGTCAGGAAACAAGCTCCAGGGCCCTATGCTGGGAGACTTTCAGGAAAGGAAACAGCCAGAGAAGAGCAGGTGGGCAGTTGGACAGCTCTGAGGTCTCTCAGCAGGCCAGTGGTGAGGTGGAAGACAGAGACTGAGGCTGGCACATGGACCTAGGGTCAGATTTCCAACCTAGAGGTGATCTGTGAGGACATTTTATGCATTGTGCAGATCAGAGCCAGGAGTTAGCCAGAGAATCAGCCAAGGAAGAGGCTGGAAGGACAGAAACTGGGTAGCTTTGGTTAGCCACATCACTTGTACGTAGGAATGGGCGTCACCATGGGGTGCCACCTTTGAGGGAAGGGCTCCTTAAGAACCCTTGCACAGTGCACAGTGCCGTCTATCTTTGCATGACACTTGAGAATTAGGTTAACCCCCAGGCAGGCAGGCAGCCACTGAGAAAGGTAAGCCACCGTCTAGTAAAAAAGCACCCATACTCCATAATCATATTTTTCAGGGTTGTTTGAAGGCTGTTGTATTGGATAGTTTTATGTCAAAGTGACACAAACTAAGGTGATCTGAAATTAGGGAACCTCGATGAAGAAAATACCTCCATAAGACTGGGCTGCAGGCAAGCCTGTAGGGCATTCTCTTAATTAGTGATTGATGGGAGAAAGCACAGCGCATTGTGGGTGAGACCACCCCTGGGGAGGGGGTCCTGGCTTCTATAAGAAAGCAGGCTGAGCAAGCCATGGGGAGCAAAGCAGTAAGCAGCACCCCTTCATGGCCTCTGTGTCAGCTCCTGCCTCCAGGTTCCTGCCCTGTTTGAATTCCTGTCCTGACTTCCTTCAGTGATGAACACCTATGTGGAAATTTAAGTCTTCCCTCCCCAACTTGCTTTTGACCGTGGTGTTTCATCACAGCAATAGAAACCCTAGCGAAGACAACTGTTAACTCATCATATGGCACACTTCATTCCTGGAATGCTTTCCTTCAGAAACAGAACTTTGACATTTGAATGGAAATTCTTCTAGTTCCCAGAAATGAGCTAAAACCAGGTGTAACACACCTACCGGATCAGGAGGACGTAGACTTCCTGTCTCGGAACCTCGTACCTCTCCACCAGGTGGAACATGGAATAGAAGCGAGGCACAGCCAGGTTGATGCAGGACACAACGAATGGCAGTAACAGCACTGCCCCAGGGTTCCTGTGTGTCTTCAAGAACTGCAGGGTTGGAGGATAAGCTGAGAGGTCCATGGAGCTGTGGACACTCTCTGCACACTCAGAGGGTCTGAAGTAGAGAAACCCCTCCCCAGCTCCTCTGAGGCATACTGAATCTCAGAGAGGCAAAGAAGCATTGGATCAGAACAGTGCTGGTTAGTTAGTTAGTTAGTTAGTTAGTTAGTTAGTTAGTTAGTTAGTTAGTTAGTTAGTAATTTTTGTCATCTTGATACAAACAAGAGTCAAGTGCCAAGGGGGAACCTTAACTGAGGAACTGCTAGATCATACCATTCTGTGGGTATATGTGTGGGGTATTGTGTTGACTGGTAATTGGTGCAGGAGGCCAAGTTCACAGTTGGCAGCTCTAACCCCAGACCAGTATTCCTGGGCTGTATAAGAAAGCTAGCTGACCAGAGCCAGCAAGCAATGTTTACCCATGTCCTGCCAGGTCAATTTTAGTCAGAGTGTCTTATCACATCCACACAGTGAAACTAGGGCAATGACCTAAACTCAAACAGCTCTGCTGAGACTTGGTTCTCTTTATCAAGAAGATTGGGTTAGGATACTGAGTTCTCTTGCTGTGGAAACAAAATCTATTCTAGACATATTACAAGGGAACTAAACCCCATGGGATTTCTCCCGCTGCTCTATTATTATTATTATTATTATTATTATTATTATTAGTGGGGGCAGGTGAGACAAGGTCTCTTTATGTAGCCTTGGCTGTCCTTGGAACTCATTATGTAGATCAGATTGCCTTCAAACTCACAGAGATCCTCCTGCCTCTGCCTCCCAAGAGCTGGGATTAAAGCCCATATGACACCATGCCAGACCATTATTTATTTTCTCCTTTCCCTTTCCTCTTTCTCATTCCTCTTGTTGTTATATATATTATATGTATACATACTCATAAAATATATTAATTCAACCTGCTCAGGCTGTATAATGTTAGCTGTGATTTCAGGGATGACTGTTCCTGCTACTCTTGCACAGTCTGGGGCAGGTTCACCAGACATCCTTTGTGCTAAGAACTGAACTGGGGTGGGGAGGCTAGCCCATGCAGTGCCTTTACACGAGGATGCAGCCTCCAGGTGGGTACCTCATATGCAGGTAGAGGGTCCTTTGTCGGCATTTTTTGGAGCGATTTCTGTGGGTGGATTTGGTGTTCCATGTTTCATTCTCCTTTTCTTGAGGCGCGACCCTACCTGTATCCACTTCTAGAGGCCTTGAAAGAATCTCTTGCTCGCTCCTTGGTATGTCTTTGGAACCCTCATATCATAGGTAGGATGTAAAGATAGGTCTGTGTCTTTAAATACTTGGTCCCCAGCTAGTAGCATAGTTTAGAAGGATATGGGACCTTGGTACATGAAGCATGGCTAGAGAAAATGCATCACAGGAGGCCAGCTTTTGAAGGGCAAAGCCCAGCCTCTGGTGCCTCCCACATTCTCTGCTTCTTGAGCTATCGAGGCGGTTCACCCATTCCCACCTACACTAACCATACTCAGCCACCATGTCTTCCCCTCCAAGATGAACTGACATCCCCTAAAATTGTGAGCCAAGGTAATTCCTGTCTCCCTGGCACTGCTTCTGTCAGGGCATTGAGGAAATTAAGTAACATGCCTTGGTCCTAATGCTTCATCTCTGTCCCATACTTAGCAGTTAAAGGGGAACCTGGGTGATTTGTTCTCTGAGCCAGGATAGCATCCCTCAAGCCACAGAGACTCACTAGAAGCCAGAGAGATGAGAAAAGGCCAAGTCCACCCACGGAAGCTGTGGTTACCAGTGACTGAGAGTCACCAGTGATTGACAGCCACTGGACTTATGCCAGTGCTTGTTCCTGCTCAGCCCAGGGTGGGTGCCTGTGCCAGAGAATGGTCCTAGGACTTCTGTCTCTCACTAGCTACCCTGTACTTTAGGACAAATGAAGGTAAAGACTTTCCCCCTGCAGATGCCCAGCCACAGCTTCCACCTCATGTCTCATGTGATCAAGGGCAGACACCTTTAAAGTCATACTTTAACATGGCCAGTGGCAACCAATCGAGGTTGTGTAATCCCATACCCATTGCTTTTAGACCAGAGGTGAGGTCAAGAAAGATTAAGCCATGCAGGGGATTTCACCTGTCTGTCAGACTTACTGAGCATCTACTCTGTCAGGTGTCATGGGGCCTGGGGACAGAATAATAAAGAATGCTGAGAATATAAACTCAGTATTTGGGAGACTGGAGCAGGAAGATCAGGAGTTCAAGGCTAGCCTCCATTGTATACGACTTTATCTCAAAGGGGGGGAAAAGGGCAGAAATGAGATCCTAGGTCTCTGCCAAAGTCCCATTTCCACAGGAGCCTAGTGTACCTTGCCCTGTGGTGTCATGACATGCCTGGGGACTCCCATGGGGCCCAGTTGGAGGCCTCAGTTCTGCACCTGCCCCAGCAGCATCTCACTCTGCCCCAGCTCTCTCTGCCTTGGCCCTCGGGGTTACCTCAGAGTTGTACTCTGCCAAGTAGTACACAGCTACACAGCAGGCTGCAGCCACTCCAGTAGAGACGAGCCAGGCGGCTACATGAGCAGAAAATTGGGTCAGCTGCTGGTTGAATGTGAGCCTGTCATTCTCCTGGCGGATCTCAGACAGGTTCTCCTGCAAGTGTCAGACAGTCATGTAGACCCACTGGGCCCTCCACAATGTCAACAGAGACCCCCCCCCCAGGGTCATAGGGCCAGCCCAGACCATAAAGGAGCTGGAGGGGAAGTCTGTGATCAAGGTGGATCATGGGAGACCAAGGGCAGAAAAGCCCAAGATCTTCAAACTATTTCCATCTTAAGGGACCAGAGAGATGCAATAGGCCTGTGTTTTCTGCTTTGCTATGCCCCTATGCTCCTCCTTTCCCTCTTCTCCCTCCGTCCCTCCTTTCTTCTCTCAGTCACTCCCTTCCTGCCTTCTTTCTCTTCCATCTTTGCATGTAGAGAAAACAAAGGTCTTACTATGTAGCCTAGCCTGCCCTTAAACACACAACCCTCCCGTCTCTGCTACCCCAGGATGGGAGGTGTGCAACTGTACACCACAACAAAACATTCATCAGGAGACTTTTCTTGATGAACAAGGCCAAGTACCACATGGATAAAAGTCAAAGCTGTCCTCAAATCCCTTTTATGGATAATTTATAAATACTACTCACTCTTTTGGGGGGGGGGCTTTGTTGTGGTTTTTAATTTTTTTTGTTTTTTTTTTTTTGTTGTTGTTGTTGTTGTTTTTGAGACAGTGTCTCACTTTGTAGTCCTGGCTGACCTGGAACTCACTATGTAGATCAGGCTGCCCTCGAAATACAACATCTGCTCATGAAAGGTTGAGCCACCACACCTGGCTGCTTCATTTGTGCTGGTCATTCCCCTTCTCTGAGTAAAATTAGCTTTTCTCTGTAGATCAGGGTAGACCAGGGTAGACCAGGGCACTCATGTACAAGGAAAAGACAAAGACTGTCCTTTCCTTGTACATGAGGTACTTCAAGGCATGTCAGACCTCCCCTCACTAGACACCACTGCACCTTTTCCTCATTGTAACAACTGATAAAGGTCTTCAGAGGTAGCCCAGTGTGCCCCCGAGGAACAGAGTTGCTCCAGATGGAAAACCACTGCTCTAGGGTAGAATTTTCAGTGTGGAGGCATGAACTCTAGAAGTAGATGTGTTTTCAGATGAGTTAGAAGCTGACCTTGGTGAAGGCTGAGCCAATCTCAAAGCCTGACATGGAGTGGAGCATCCATTTCCCCCATGCACTGGCTGGCACTTGGGATTACCATTAATTTAGTATTTTACAGACAAGTCCAAGAGTGAAGGCAAAGGTCTCTAACCTCAGCATCCAGGAGTCCTGGGGCAGGAAGATCTCAAATTCCAGGTCAGCTTGTGATATATATGAAACCCTGATCTCCCTCTCTCTCTCTCCTCTCCCCCCCTTTTTTTGAGACAGGGTTTCTCTGTATAGCCTGTCCTGGAACTCCCTCTGTAGACCAGACTGGCCTGGAACACACATAAATCTAACTATCTCTGCCTCCCCAGTAATGGTATTAAAGATGTGTGCTACCATGGCCCACCTGAAATCCTATCTCAAAAGGAAAGAGAAAGGGGAATGGGAAAGGGAAGGAAAAATGAGGGGGGGGGAGAAGGGAAAAAGCTACAAAGATGCATAGGGATGGGAGAAGGCTGGTGGGGGGAGGACTCTGGGGTCTGGGCTTTACCCTGATCTCCGTGCTCAGATTCTTCTGTTTTAGCTTCACAGCTTTTTCATGGGTGACAGTGAAGTCCCAGCAAAAGACAAGTTTAGCAATCCCTCTGGAGTAAATATGCGGGTTGATGAAGTTGTTCCGGAAGTACTTGGCCATGCTGGGGAAAGCAGAAACCAAAATGTCCTAGCATTATTATGAAGGTGTTGAGGCATACACAGACCATGTTTCTCACTGATATTAAAAAGCAACATGGACAATCCAAACTCTTCCCTCATTACCAGCACAGTGTTCTACAAGTGATGGGAACAGACAGGCATAGTTTGGAGTTTGTCTAAGTCTAAGATGAGCCTTAGGGGCTGGGGAGATAGTTTAGTTGGTAAAGTACCTGCCATCCAAGAATAAGAACAAGTTCAGTTCCTAAAACCCATGTAAAAAGCAATGTGGGTATGGTACTGCACACTCAGCCCAGCACTGGGGAAGCAGGGACAGATGGGTCCCTGGAGCTCATTAGCTGATCAGTCAAGCCTACTTGGCAAGTTCCAAGCCAAAGAGAGATCTTATTTAAATACAAATAAATAATGAAAAAAAAGTAGACACTGCCTGAGGAATGACACCCAAAGTTGTCTTCTGATCACACAAATGTGTACCCATGCACACATACAACTGCACACATGTGCACACATACTAATAAAGTAAGCCCCAGAATCAGGTCAGAATCTACCTGAAGAGCAGACTGAAGAAGCAGATGACCAGGCAGGCTCCGATTGTGAAGATGTAGGCCAGCTGCATGTTGTAGGATGGTCCGCCTGTTTCATGTCGGATTGTGGAGTTCGTATAAAACCCATAGTACATCACTGTGTCCCTAAAATAGCCCTGACAGGAACAGTAATGAGATCCAAGTTAAATGGCTTGTTTGAGAAAGGTGAATGTCTATGCATTTCAGGTCCCTGCCTGCAATTAATTCAGACATTCATGGTCACTTCTTGGCATCCAAGGAGGTCAGCTATGGGACTGCTGAAGATACCACCAACAGCAGACAGATGCTCAAGACCCTTGCATGCTGTGGCCTAGTGTCCACACGGGACCTGTGCCCATCCTCCCATGTTCTAAATCAACTGGAGATGACATACCTAATACATGAATGTTCTGTACATAGGTGTCACAGTATGTATGTAGATTAGGGAATAAAGACAAGGACCAGGACTGCTTACATGCTTGTAGACATTATTCTTATTGTGTTTGTGAATGTGTACATGTGCACATGAGTGTGTGTGTGTGTGTGTGTGTGTGGTGCAAGTGCATGAGTACGCTGGTGAAAAAGGAGTGTCCTGATCTATGACTCTCATCTTATTCCTGTAAGACATGCTCTTCCACTGAGCCTAGACCTTGTTGTTTGGAGGCCATGATGGCTGTCTGATAACCCTCCTGTCTCTACCAACCACAGTGATCATATTAGAAGTGCACTCAGCCTTGTCTGGCTTTGTATGTAGGTACTTGGGGTTCTAACTCAGACCTTCATGTTTGTGTAGCAAGGGTTCTTATCTCAGGTCACCTCTCCATTTCCAGACACAAATTGTAAAAACGCATTTTGCACCTATGGCCGATTGAATAAAAGGGGTTAGAACTTGTGGGTGTGGGTGGTGAGCTGTAGTTTGCTGGGGAAAAGACCTATGTCTTTTAAAAATAAGCTCCTAGAGTTGGAGAAAATTACAAATCAACCTGGTTTTGCAGTTAAGGAACCTCACTATGAGCACCTGAACTTGGGGATCAAGCCAAGCATCCTGAAAGCCAGACAGTCAGACATGTTCAACCTCTGCTATCCACTCAGTATGTTGGCCTGACAAAGAAATCACAAGGAAGTGGTCAGACAGTTCTAGAAGGCAGAACATGAGCACCTGCAAAACAGCTGGTGCCACTTTTTGTAATAAGGGGGAAATCATGTATCTTTGTAGACGATTTTTTTCTTCCCATATAAACATCAATCCATCAATTGATCAATAGTTAGAGACACAATAGATACTAGGTAAATAAACAAGCCATAAATACAGGGAAAATGATTCTTTAAAAAGTAAAAGAAGAGAGCTGGGTGTGTCACTCATCGGCATGCTGCTTGTATGGAATGTGCAAAGTCCCTGTATGATAAAAAATAGAATTCATAAAGCCAAGAAAAAACAATTAAGCAGGTGAAAGTAACGGTTCAAGACTTGAAAACTGAAATAGAGAAAATAAAGGTAACACAAAACGAATGAATGATGGAAATAGAAAAACTGGGCAAAAAAATCAGGAACTACAGACACAAGCATAACCAACAAAATTCAAGAGATGGAAGAGAGAATCTCAGGCACAGAAGATAAACTAGAAGAAATACATTCATCGACCAAAGAAAATCATAAATCCAACAAATCCTTAACACAAAATATCCAAGAAATGTGGGACACCATGAAAAGGCCAAACCTAAGAATAATAGGCATAGAGGAAGGTGAGGAAGCCCAGCTCAAAGGTGCCAAAAACATATTAAGGGGAAGTGGGGGGGGCCAGCGAATGGAGAGAGAAGTAGGAGAAAACAAGGGGGAGGAAAGGAAAACATGTGCGACCAGGAAGATTGAGCCTGGTTAGGAATAGAAGACAGGAGAGAGAGAGAGAGAGAGAGAGAGAGAGAGAGAGAGAGAGAGAGAGAGAGAGAGAGAGAGAGAGAGAACATAAAAGAGGGAGCCAATATTGCTTTGAAGATAAAATTGAACACAAAATAGGTCTAGAGAACTACAAGACTGCTGCCAACTAACAATTTGAGCTTCTGTGGATAGGCTACCATAAATGCCCTTCCCGGAGAGTGAGATCAACAACTAACTTCTCCATGGAGCCCTCAACTAATGCCTGTTGGAAACAGGAGCAAACACCCATACATAAACACTGAGTTGAAGTAGAACTCATATGCAGATGGAGAGGACAAGATCAGGCGGCAGAAACACATAGAGACAGTTTACCTGAACAAGGAGGAGCTAATGGGCCACCAGACTGAAAGCTGGGAAGCCAGCATGGGACTGACTCAGGCCCCCCTGATTATGGGTCTCAGCCAGAAGGACTGAGCAGTCTAAGGGACCTCAGAGAGTGGAGCCAGGATGTATCCCTGGTGCACAAAAGGACTTTGTGAACACATACCCCATGGAGGGATAACTGCCTTAATCTAGAGACAGGAGAGAAGCCCTAATCCCTACTTCACATGGCCTGTCAGACCTACATGACCCCAACTGGATGGCATTCCCCTATATATGGAATTGGGGTGGGGGGATGGGAGGGGAGGGTGGTTAGAGTGCATGTGAGAGGGCAGAGAGGGTAAAAGGGAGGGAAGGAGAGAGGGAGGAAGGGAGGGAAGGAGGGAGGGAGGGAGGAAGGGAGAGCGAACTGGGATCAACATTTAAAATAATAAATTAAATTTAAAAATAAAAAAATAGAATACATAAAAAATTTAAAATAAAGAGGGCGAGGATTATACTGTAAGACTTCTCTCTCTTTTTTTTCTGTAAGACTTCTTTTACAACTTTTTTTTTTTTTTTTTTGCTTTACCATGCATCTTGAATGGTTTTATAAATCCATGTTCTTCTTAGCATGAGTCAGAGTGTACCAACCATGCTGCCTGTTGAAGCATTCAACCTCTACCTTGTGAGTTGGCATTGAAGAGGTTTCTGCCCTTAGAGAAGGGCTGCAAAAACTATACCCCCAGAAACCTGCTTTTGTACCTCTAGGAACTCACATTGTGTGTGTGTGTGTGTGTGTGTGTGTGTGTGTGTGTGTGTGTGTGTGTGTGTATGCGCATGAAAAAGAATCAAAGAGGAAAACGTTTCCAGACATGAGGTCATTTGATTCTCAAATTCTCCAACATGCAACTCTGAAAACAAAGAATCCATTTCTATGCTCATGCCACCATTATCATACTTAACGACTTTAAGGATAAATATTCAGGGATGGAGAGATGGCTCAGCAGTTAAGAGCATTTGCTGCTTTCCCAGAGAACCTGAGTTCAGTGCCCAGTTCCATATTGGGCAGCTCATAAACACCTATTACTCTAGCTCCAGGAGACCTGATGCTCTTGCCTGGCCTCTACAGGTACCCACACACATGTGATTTAAGGGATACACCCCAGCTTGAAGAATTAAACAAAAGAAGGAAGGGAAAATTAACTTTCCTCCATTTTCCTCTGTAGTAGGGATTTTCTAGGAGAGGACTGATTATATTTTGTAGGAATAAGAAAAAGAGAAGAAACAGATTTCTGACTTGAGGTGTTCACTGAGTAATGCTAAGGGAAAGAAAACAAACAGTAGGCAGCCTGTGAGGAATGCTCATCTTCATAAGAAACAAAAGGATGGAGTGCCTGCTTCATGCATAGACAGTTCAAGCATGCCAAGAAGTGGGGTGTGGATGAAACAATTTGCAACACTGGTTCCTGACCTCTGGATGCTTCAGCCACTTGCCTTACAACATCATGCCCTCAATACTTGAGGGAGAACCAGCCATTTCTCCATCAGGCAGAATGAGAGGTCTGGGTAAGGGCACAACATTCCCTGGGATTCCATGGTGGTGAACTTTTGCAGGGACAGAGCACTTACCGCCCCTGTGAAAAACTCCAGCCCAGTGAACCGGAGGGTGTTTCTCTCGGCCACAGTGAATTGTGGAATGATGATGAAGCTGAAGTTCATGACAAATGAGAAGATGTTGAACTTCAAAAGCCACCTCAGAAAGCTGAAATAGGACAGGACGCTGGTTCCAAACTTGCCTCCGATGACTTTAAATGTCTTCTGCCACAAGCTGATGTAATTGAGGAGCTCTGAAAGGTTGTTCTTGCTTCTGCGGTAAGCCTGGAGTGCGGGGGGGGGGGGGCAAAGAGGAACCTTGATTCTCATCGAGTGGTTCCCGAGTAGGTGCTATAATAGCTAAATGTCCCTGCTCCAATAGCCCTACTCCCAGCCAGGCAGCTCTGAGGTGCATTTAGAAAGATGGCTTTGTTCATGTTCACAACAACCCTCTCGAACCCTACTAACACCTTCCCGGGTTGCTCTTCCAGAGGCCTCTAACATCCTACCTTCCCCGTGCCCATCTTTTCACTCACTCCCACACCTATGTTGGCCTATACAGTCTGATTGTCGGCTTCTCTTCCCTCCATCCCCTTCCACCCCTGACCCTTGACCTCACTGTTGTCACTCTCTTGCCAAGCTCTCCTTTCCTCCATCCCCTTCCACCTCCTCTGACTCTTGACCTTGCTGCTGTCCCTGTCTTGCTGAGCTCATCTCATTTACAATGAGATGCAAATCATTTTACCCATATGGATGAGCCCCAGGAGAGAATAAATAAGAAACTACCAAATGATACAGCCATTCCCTTCCAGGTATGTGCACTGGTTAGTTTTTGTCAAACCGACACAAACCTAGAAGTATCTAGGAACTGGGGGCCTCAATTAAGGAACTGCCTCCATCAGATTGCCTGTAGCCAAATCTGTGGGGGCATTTTCCTGAGTGGCTGAAGTGGGGAGGGCAGCTCACTGTGGGCTGTGCTCCTGAGTTGTAGAAGAAAGCAGGCTGAGCAATCCACGAGGAATAAACCAGTAAGCAGCACCCCTCCATGGCGTCTGTTTCAGTTCCTGCCCCCAGGCTCCTGCCTTGATTTCCTGACCTGAAGTCCCTTCACCATGGACTGTGATCTCAGAAGTACAAGCCAAATAAAGTCTTCCTCCCCAGGTTGCTTTTGGTCATGGTGCTTTATCATAACAATAACAATAGAAATAAACTAGCACAGTATATAATGGAAGGAAATGAAAGCAGCATACAAAGAAATTCCTGTAGCAGCATAGCCAAGATCTAGGATTAATCTAGCAATCCTCAGTGCATGGATGGGTAAAAACAATGCATGCACACACACACACGTACATACATGTATATACACATGTATATATAAAATTATTATCCAATAGCTCAATATATATATTGAACTATTATCAGCTACAAAGAATGAAATCTTATCATTTGCTGAATTGTGAATAGAACTAGGGGATGTTGTAAAAATGAAATAGTCCAGACAGGGAAAGACAAATATTGCATGTCCCTCTCATATGGGGAAGAATGTAGAACACATTAAAGGCTTGGAAGAGTTGAGGGGAGGAAGGAGAGGGGCTGGAATAAGGAAGGAATGAGTGATGGTGTTTCCTGGTGGGATGACTGTAGCTCACAATAGCCTGTAGATATTTTATAAGCATCTAGGGGAGAAGACATCAAGGGCTGGAGTAGAGTGCATGCTTAGCATGTGTGCAGCCTTGGAATCAATCTCCTGGCACTGAGAAGAAAGGAGAGGGGGCAGGGTGAGGGAAGAAAGGAAGTATGGAAGGCAGGCAAGAAGGAAGAGGTGAGGAAGGAAGGGAGGAAGGAAGGAAGGGAGGAAGGAAAGTGTGGGACGCTGTCCTTTGGGTATCACATGGCCATTGCACTCTTAAACTCTCTCATCAGCTGTGAGGACTCAAAGGAGATCTGTGCAAGATGGACAGGCAGGAAGGGAGCCATTTACTTCCCATGGTGGACAGAAGCAAGAACTCAAGAAGCCTGGCCCCTTCCTTAGATATGTAGGCAGTTAGCAGCTGCTGGGGGAGGAGCTCACACCCAAGGTGGCTAAGGATTGCTGGGGAGAGAGACATGTTCTGTGGTATAGCAGCCTGCAAGTCGCCAGTAACCTTTACGTAATTCTGTGAACTGACTGGCCCACCTTGTCTGCAGTGAACAGAAGGACAGTAAAGGAAAATGCTAATTAACCAGATGTGCCATGAAGGCTGTGTGGTGATTTGAATGAAAATGACACCTCTAGAGCCTGCATGGGTCTGACCTGGGCCCTTTGCATACATGTGACAGTTGTGAGACTCCTAACACTGGGAGCAGGTGCTATCTCTCTTTTGCTGGCCTTTGGGACCCTGTCCCTCATACTGGATTGCCTTACTTAGCCTTAATACAAGGAGAGGTATTTAGTCTTACTGTAACTTGATATGCCCTATCCATGGGAGGCCTGCCCTTTTCTGAATAGAAACAGAAGAGGAGTGGATTGGGGTAAGAGGGGCAGAAGGGAGGTGGGAGGAAGGGGCTGGGAGGAGAGAAGGGAGGGAATCTTCAGGATGTAAAATTAAAAATGATGAAACAAAAGAAATAGTAGGCAATTTTTAGTTAACTAATTAAGGAAGAAGGAAAGAGAAAGAAAAAGAAAAGGAAGGAAAGAAGGAAGGAAGATGGCTCCCCTAGGCTCATAGGAAGTGGCACTATTAGGAGATGTGGCCTTGTTGGAGGAAGTGGGTCACTAGGGGGTGGGCTTTGAGGTTTCAGATGCTCAAGCCAGGCCCAGTGTCTCATTCTTTCTTCTGCCTACCAATCCGGATGTAGAATTCTCAGCTCCTCCAATACCGTGCCTGCCTATACACTGCCATAGTCCCCGCCATGATGACAAGGACTAAAACTGTAAGCCAGCCCCAACTAAATGCTTTCCTTTATAAGAGTTGCCATGGTCATGGTGTCTCTCCACAGGCAATAGAAACCCTAAGACAGGCTGCATGTATATGTGGAAATAGCACACTTTTCGGCAGAAACATGTAAATCCTTTGTCTAAGATCAGGTCTCACTCTGCAGCTCTGGCTGTCCTGGAGCTCACTATGTAGACCAAGCTGGCCTCCAGCTCACAGAGACCTCCTACCTCTGCCTCTGCCTCTCAAGTGCTGGGATTAAAGGCATGAAAAGAAAAACGTTTTTAGAAGTAGATTTACCAGAGAAAGGGAGCTCAAACACTGAGAACAGCAGTTGGCCTCCAGGGTGCCATGGCGCTGTTTACTCTTTTCTTTATCAACTATTTTCCTGTGGAAAATGGTAGAAGACAATAAAAGATAACCAATGTTATCATTCATTTATGCAAGCAAGCAAGCAAGCAAACAAAAAGCTATCCATTGCTAAGCATGGAGGCCCCTGTTTGTAGTCGCCGCCTCTGGGGTCAAACAGAATCACTTGGTCCGGGTCTCAAGGGCCACAGTGCTGGAATTACACAGTGGTCACTGTGTTAGCTTTTATATGGGTTCTGGTGATATATGTTCGGTTCCCATGCTTGCATGGCAATCATTTTCCAACTGGGCCCCTCACACCCCCCACCCCCCGCCACACACACACACACACACACACACACACACACACACACACACACACACACACCCAGTTGTTTCTTTCTTTCTTTCTTTCTTTTTTTTTTTTTTTTTTTTTTTTTTTTTTTTTTTTTTTTGTTATTTTGTTGTTTAGCAATTTTTAAATTTAGAGTGGTTTGAACTTTAGGCTATGTATTGTGTCCCCACATGCCTCTTACAGGTTTTCCTGTCAACTCTTAACTTGCCAGGGTAGGTATGGTGACTTGAATGAACTGTTCCCCAGAGTCTGGGGGCCATTTGAACATTTGGTTCCCAGTTAGCAGTACTCTTTGTGTAGTGTGGCCTTGCTGAGTGAAGTACATCGCTGTGGGTGGGCTCTGTGGTTTCAAAATCGCAGGCCATTCTCAGTTTGCTCTCTCTGCTTTCTTGTGATCCAAGACGTGAGCTGTCAGCTCCTATTCCAGCCACCATGGCTTCCCTCTGCCATCATGACTCTGACCCCCTAGAACCACAATCCCAAATAAACTTGTCTATGAGTAGCCTGGTCAGTGTGTTTCATCACTGCAGTAAAAAAGTAACTAAACAGTAGGTTTGACAAAACCTAGCCAGCACGCATGTATCCTGGTATCTAAACTGCAGGTAGCTGCTTCGGAGTTTCCCAGTTTCTCCTCCCCTCCCTGCCTGCCCAGGCCCACACAGTGCATTTGCTGTCCTCCCTCTTTAGAATTCTGTCCTCTTTGTCAGGTTCTCAGATCTTCATTGCCTTTAGTGACATGAAGATGTTTGAGTCAGGGATTTCAGAGTATTTGCCCGATGCATCTCTCTGATAAGATTGGGGTCTGGGCTTTAAGAGAGAGGATCACAGGGGGACTGCCCTTCTCAGAACATGACCTATCTTTGGGGAAACTAGCTTAAGCAAGTACCTGGCCCAGGCAGTGGTAACTAGACTTCACTGGAGGCTTGCTTTTCTCCAGAGAATCCTCCTTGGAAGCAGCCGTGGACCAGGGTGTACATGCCTTCTAGGGAGACAGGTCAAGCCCTAGCCCTTAGTTCTAGCACTCAGAAAGTAGAGACAGGATGATCAGGAGTTCAGGACAATCTTTAGTTATATACCAAGTTCAAGGCCAGCCTGGGCCACAGGCTTGTGTCAATAAAAAGCAAAAAGAATTGATGAAGGAGGATCCTTAATTTGAGGTCAAATAAAGCTACATAAGAAACCCTACAGGGCCAAGTGTTGGTAGCTCACACCTTTAGTCCCAGCACTAGGGAGGCAGAGGCAGGCAGATCTCTGTGAGTTTGAGGCCAGCCTGGTCTAAAGAGCTAGTTCCAGGACAGGCTCCAAAGCAATGCAGAAAAACCATCTCTTGAAATATCAAAATAATAATAATAATAAAAAAAAAAAAAAACAAAGAAACCCTACAGGGGTGTGGGGGATTTCCACCCTGCAAAGGTTTCTCTTACAATAAGAACTGTCTCCTTTATTATTCATTTCCTATCTTTTTGAGCTGGAACAAAAGCAGTAGACTGAGTCTCCCATCTAAGAACAAAGTCTCCCATCTAAGTTACCTAAGTTCTCTCTTCTCTTGCATGGTCCTTGGCTGGTTCCTGATGGCTTTGATTCTGTCTCTGGATGTCATGGGAACCAGGGATGCAATTAATTTTTGTCCTGCAGAAGAAAATGAACAGAGCTTTGTTTCTTATTTCTTTAACATAGTGTTAACATTTTAAAAGAAGAACACTGGAGTGAGATGAGGCAGTGCATGCCTATAATCCCAGATCTGGGAAGTGGAGGCAGAAGGATAGAAAGTTCAGAGCTAGTCTGAGCTCCATAGTGAGTTCAAGGCCACTCTGAGTGTGGTAGCTTGAGTGAGATCTTCCCCATAGTTTTAGGCATTTGAATGTTTGTTTTTCCATTTTGGCACTGTTTGGGGAGGCTTAGGAGGTGTGGCCTTGTTGGAGGAAGTGTGCCATGGGGGTGGGGGGACAGGTTTTGAGAGCTTAAAGACTTGACCCATTCTCAGTTAGCACTCTCTACTTCCTGCTCTCAGCTTCCTATTCCAGTCACCAGGCCTACTGCTTTCCCACTGTGGCTGACTCTTAACCCCATGGAATTGAAAGCCCAAATAAAGGCCTTCTTCTCGATCACAGAAATAGAAAAGTAATATATCACATTACCTACGGAGAGCCTGTCTTACACAGCCCTGTGAATCAATCAATCAATCAATCAATCAATCAATCAATCAATCAATCAATCAAGTAATCAATCAATTATGGTATTGAAACTAGAGCATGTTTTGTTTGAGACAGACTCCTGCTCTAAAGCCCAGATTGGCCCGGAACTGGTAGTTCTGTTCCCTCAGTCTCCCAGTGCCTAACAATGGATGTACAGCACCATGTAGACTGATATAGGAGATAACATAGACTCAGAGATTTCAAAGATCACAAATGGGATCTGTCAAAGGTGGTATAAACCTTAAACTCAGAAAGCAGTCAGGTGGATCCCTGAAAGTTCAAGGCCAGCCTAGTCTACATAGTGACTTCCACATCAGCTAGAGCTATATAGTAGGACCCTGTCTCAAAAAACAAAACCACAAGTGACTAGAAGACCTGTGTGTGTGTGTGTGTGTGTGTGTATACATTTGTGCTCAAAATCAAAGCAAACATTTAGATTATTCTAATCTAATACTAATTCAATACTTCTGGTTTTCCCTGGACAAAAACAAACAACAACAACAACAACAAAAACAAAACAAAACAAAAACCCCACAAAAAAACAAAAAAAAAAAACACGAGCAAAGAAACAAATCTTGCAAGCTTTGTATCTCTTTCTTGCATGTCCTACATGGTTTCCTTTACCTCTGAAATCCAGGCCCGAATGCCTTTTCCTCAGTTCCTGACAATTACCACAGTTCTTAACTCTTCCATCTCCCTCTAACTCATAGTCATGTTTTCAGTCATGTGGCCAAGAAATTGATCTCAAGCCGCTAAATCATCCCCCGTTTAACTAACTGTGAACAGCAACTGGGTTCAGATCGTGCCCTTCTCTCACGAGGCTAGAGCATCCTCTGAGAACCATCTCCAGGCACATGGGACAGGTCCCAGGGAGTCTAAACCAATCCAATGGCCTTATCCTCTTTTCAGGGGACTTAGAAGCGTGTGACATTCTATTGCCTGAAGAGTTTCTTGGAAAGGATTTCTCCTTTTTACACAAAAAGGGGCAAGCAAAGGACATATACCACCATGCATATGGTTCTGTAGATAGAGTCCAGGGTATTTGAAATGCTAGGCAAACTCTACCAACTGAGCAATCAAGGGCTTTAAGGTCCAGCCTTCAGAGCATTCACTCAGGGTTCAAAGAGGGACATTATAAGCGTAGGGTCTAAGTTTGAGGACTATAGAAAAGAATCTTCTCAAACATGTTCTTCTACACATGTGTTCTTTATTTGTCTGCCTCTAATATAATTTTTCTGTCCTAATTGTCTATAATTTCTTAGCTCTAATTCTCTGTCCCAATCCTAATTCCAATTTCAGTTCTCTGCTTTATTCTTCTTCTTCATTTTCCTACATTTTATTTTTTCCTATATTCTTATCCTTTTACATTTCTGCTAATTTCTGCCAGCTGCTCCCACCAGCTACCACTTCCTTGGTCTTGTCTTTTAAAATCTCCCCCCACACCCCCTACCTGAGGTTTAAAGCAAAGGGTAAGAGTTACAGAGCTAGCTTTTCATTGGTCAAGAAGCACATTCCTAGGCTAAGTGATAAGAGCAGAGCCATGACCATGGCAACACAAGGTCCAAGGTTACAGATGTGAGACTGCGACCAGAGGGCCCGGGTACAGTGAGATAAGCTTTGAGACATAGGTCTTTAGTTAACCAACTGGCAAGCAAAGAACAGACACACTTTTCTTAGTAACCTTGGTAGACATCTGTGACTCTGACCTTGTGCAAGTTATGAAGTTTTCTTTTTATAAAAAAGTATTTAGTCTAGTTTGAACTTGCTCCGAGGTGAAAGTGAGCTAATTGTGTATAGTGATCTGAGCAAGAGAACAAGGCAGCCTATTAAGAGTCCATAGTCCTTATTGGACAAATAGATCCGGTTATGAAGCATGTCCCAGTATATATTCTATATACATAAAAATTACATAGCTAAATGAAAACTCATCTTCTAGACCATCCACAGACACATGTGCCCAGTAAACAATTAACACACTGTAGTGCTGTGGGAAGAATCCTCAAGCTGTAATGTGAGGGAAAGAGCTCTTCACACAAGAAGTCTGCACTGAGGACAACTAGAAGGCAATATTCCTTATCAACTTGCCAGATAAGGTTAATGAGATGTGTTAAATGAGATCTTTATCTCCATGAGATATGCATCTCTGATGGACTGACCCCTGAAGTATGTGCTGAACTCTTACTGCATAATTCTGTGGTCTATAACACTGAACTACAGCCCCAGGCCTACATCTGGAGTATTATGAGGTGAAAGAGAAAGGGCATTTCTGTTGGCCTCAGGAGCTCAGAGACGGGAAGGTCTCAGCTAAGATCTAAGCTCAGGATGAACTTAGCTGTGAGGCATCTTGTCTTGTCCCATGAAACTATGGTGGCAATGACTTTTCCTGAGCCTCAGTCTCCTCCTTAAGCCTGCCTCAAAAATGCAGATTGTGAGAAAAATATAAGTAAATTCAATGCCTAACAGAATTAAACTTGATGGCTAAACTTCAGGCACAAGAGACAAGGTTGTCTGGGAAAGAAGCTCTCAGTAGGTAGGTCTCAAAGTGACTTCTCTTCATTCCCAACATTGGTTAGATTACTGGCTGTGCCCCTTGAAAATTAGTTGCTACCTTAAAAAGTGTATTCTTTTAAGTCTGTAGAGATGGCTTATTGGGTTAAGTGCTTGCCGCAGAAGTGTGAGTACCGGACTTTGGATCCTCAGTACCCCTGTATAAAGCTGGGCACAACACACTCATTGTGCCAGAAATGGGGAGTCAGACACTGAAGAGGCCCTGGGGTTGACTAGCCAGCCAGTGTAGCTGACTTTAGTGGCTGAAGATTCAGGGAAAGACCCTGTCTTAAAAAAATACAGTGCAGAGGCCAGCACAAGATGACTCAACAGGTGAAAGCCTTTGCTATGAAAGCCTGGTGTCCTGAGTTCAATACCCAGAACCTCTGCCCCAGGGAAAGGTAGGAGAGAATTGACTTCACAAAGCTGTCCTCTGACCTCCATGCATGACTATGCTAAGTGCACATGCACATGTACACACACACACACACACACACACACACACATACACACACACACACACACACCACCACCAATACCACCATTTAAACAACAATAACCTGTAGACAACTTTAAAGCTTCTTCCATAAGTTTTCCTGAGCATTCCATACCTTGAACAGTTTCAAGGAAAGCACAGGCTTCATTCATGCCCAGGCACTCTGGGCTATGATGTATCTGTGAAATTGATTCATTCAGAGATGAAAACCTCAACAATCGGTTGTGCCTCCTGTCATTCCCATTGCTGAAGATCTGACAGTCTGTGGTGTCCACCATCGATGATGAAACCATGCTGAAGGTGGGGCTTGCTGATGACTTTCTTAGAAAAATCTGATTTGAGGCTAGATGTCTTTGGACCTCAGATGGAACATTCTCCACTTCTATGATGATTTCATTTACTTGGTCATCTGACAGCATTTCTGGCCTCTGAGGAGTCTTGTTCTTCACAGGATTGGCCATCAAAGTCCTCATAAGCACTCAAACTGGCATGGTTGGGCCCGCCAGGCAAGAATGGTGACATAGGAGAAAGGGTGCTCCATTCACAAGGAGCTCCACACAAACTACAACATGGCTCCCGCCTGTGCCCTGAGTGGGCACCTTCCTACAGAGAATTCTGCCTTGGTAGCTAAGCGACACATTATAAACAGAACCCTTCATTAAAGACAATGGGGTTCTAGAAACAGAAGGTGGGGAGTCTTCTAAATGACTCAATCACAGGGTAAGGTTTCCTTTTCTATTTGACATTCATCATTTGATATGCGCATTTTGGGGCAGCAAGATAGCTCAATGGGTAAAGGTGCTTGTTGCCAAGCCTAATGACCTGTGCTTAATCCCCACACAGTGGAAGGACAGAACTGATCTCCACAATTCTTTTTTTGACTGCACACATTAATGACTAAATGTATTTCTATATAAACACAGGTGAGTTTATAACATTATCATTATCTCTTGACCTCCTCAGGTCTGCCTTCAAATATCTATCCTCCTCATGCCAGCAGAAGGCTCATCTCCTGTTCAGACACAGTGCTCTGCTAAGATTCTCCCAGCTTTCTTTGCAGCTAAGGGTAGCCATGTGACCCAGTTTTAGCCAATGAGAAAGCAGTTTTTTGGAATGCGCTTTAAAAAGCGTTGATGCTCTTGGCTTTTGTTCTTCACAGCCCTTCTGCCTTTGCGCCTTCTTGTTTTGAAAACAATTAGGTTGATATTCATCTGCCAAGAATGATGGACAGAGGGAGGGAAACTCAGCTCTTGAGAGCATCATAGGATAGCTTCTTTATTGAATTACACTTTCCACTCTTCCTGTTTCTTGAGAAGAATAAATTCTTTGTCACTAAGCCATTGTTGTGCCTCAGTGCCAGAGATGTGAACAGAATTACTGTAGATATCTGATTTACAAGTTACCTGGACCAATTTGCTCATTTTTCAATGAGCCAAACTGAGGGCAGAGTGTGATAGAATATTATTTTCGGGTGTATGATTTTTGTTTATGTGGCATTTGTTTAACTCTGTGAAGCTGTGTGGCTGTGCCTGTCTAAAACAACTGGTGGTCCTAATAAAAAGCGGAATGGCCAAAATCGAGGCAGGAGCAAGGAAGAGTAGGCGGGGCTGGCAGGCAGAGAGGATAAATAGGAGAAATGAAGAAGGAGGGAAGCGAGAGAAGGAGAGGAGAATGTCAGGAGCCCAGCCGCCCAGCCGCCCAGCCGCCCAGCCGCCCAGCCGCCCAGCCGCCCAGCCGCCCAGCCGCCCAGCCCGCCCAGCCGCCCAGCCGCCCAGCCGCCCAGCCGCCCAGCCGCCCAGCCGCCCAGCCGCCCAGCCGCCCAGCCGCCCAGCCGCCCAGCCGCCCAGAGTAAGAAGGAAAATAAGATATATAGAAGTGAGAAAGGTAAAAGCCCAGAGGGAAAAGGTAGATGGGTTAATTTAAGATAAGAAAAGCTGGCTAAAAACAAGCCAAGCGAAGGCAGGGCATTCATAACAAAGAATAAGCCTTCATGTTTACTTGGGACCTGGGTGGTTGCCCCTCCAAAAAAGGTGGGGGGGGGTCACAAGATCACTCAACAGCAGAGAGACGAATTGACACACTTGGTCCATGGATTCCTATTTAATGTCAGGACTGGACACGAACTTCCTATCTCCTCCCCACAGTGGTAATTATCGTAACCCAGACTTGCCTTAAACAAGGGAAGGTACTTTATACTCTTCAGTTTTCACAACTACCCATTTCATAGCTAAGAAAACTGAGGCTCAACTGGGAGGATTTTGCCTAAGGCTAAGAAGTCAGAAAGCAGTAATGCTAATGGTCTGACTAAGGTGGTCTGAACCCAGAGCTTGTGTGTAGTCATTCATCACTCATTCGTGAACTAGCCAGTATTTACTAATGCTTGCTCTATGCCAGGGAGGTCTTGGGGAATTACCAGAATCCATAAGAGTAACACATTATTAATTAATTGACACGTGATTTGAAAATCAGAAAACAGGGAGATTAAAAGCTGTGTCTTCTATTTCTGCACCCACCTCTGAAGGCCTCTTCTCCCACCATCATGCTGTCTGGATAGGGCAGTCTAATGATGGCCATGGCATGCTTTCCCAATAGTTAAAGCCCATCCCTGCTTCACTGAGACCACCCTGCCAGGCTGCAGCATCTGTCTCTGTGAAAGTTACACTCTAGCAGCTGGGCAGCAGTGGTGCACACCTTTAATCCCAGTACTCAGGAAGCAGAAGCAGACAAATCTCTGTGAGTTCGAGGCCAGCATGGTCCACAGAGTGAGTTCCAGGACAGGCTCCAAAGCTACACAGAGAAACCCTGTCTAAAAACAAAACAAAACAACAACAACAAAAAAAACCCCTCTAGCTTGAGAAAGTTCTGGAAGGATGAGTCTGGAGGATATGATCCTGGCACAGCAGGTGGTGGGGGACTTCCTCAGTCTGCACTATGGTGAACCCATCTGTCTGGTCCTCTCACAGGCTTGCCCTTGTGATGGCATTCCCTGGTGTCTCTCTGATGGTTTCCATGGGGCTTGTAGGTCTCTGTTTCCAAGTAAAACCTTCATTGCCACACATGAGGACATTTAGAGTTTTCTGATACTTCAAGGCCTTCAATCTTTCAGGAGAGATGGCTCAATGTGTGTTTGCTTGAAGGTAAGCTTGAGGACTTGAGTTAAAAATCCCAATATCCATGTAAATGTAGTATATTTGTCTCCTGTAATTCTAGAGCTTGGGAGGCAGAGACAGGATCTAGGAATCCCCAAAACTTTGGATGACGCTAGGGAAGATTCCTCAGCAATTAAAGTGGCTTCCGGCCAAGCCTGATCCTAAGTTCAGTCCTGAGCACCAACATTGTAGAAGGAGAGAACTAACTCCCCCAAATTTGTCCGTTGACCTCCATATGTACACACACACACACACACACACACACACACACACATACACACAAAAATAAGTAAATAAACAAAATCATAATTGTTTTTTTGTGACAAGATTTCAATATGTTGCCCTGGTTAGCCTGGAATTTGCTATGTAGACTAAGCTAGTTTGAAGTCACAGAGATATAACTGCTTCTGCCTCCAAAGTTCTGGGATTAAAGCTGTGTATAGTATCATCTGTTCAAAATATAATTTTAAGGGAGTGGGAAGCTTTGCCTCAATATGTAAATTGAAGCAATAGAGGAAAATGTTAACACCTGACTTCCATACATGTATGTATGCATGCATGCACACACCTGTGCACCCACAGTCCTTCCTATCTATACACATCACATTCAAACACTTATACACAAAGTCACATCATATACACAAACATATACAAATAAGAAAATGAAGCTTACTGTTTTTCACTGAACTACATACTTCCACATTTCAACATAATTCAAAGCTTCCTTATTCACATTTTTAAAATCAGTGGACTTTGTCCTCAGAAACACACACATTGGCCATTGAAATAGATGGCCCTATCTTGTCACATATGATAAAAATTATTGGTTTGAGTGTGAGCATGTGATCCTCAAATCACTGGGGAAGAAAAGCTTCCTTCTAAAGGATAATTTTGCTGAGGGGCATCTGTGGGTCTGATGGCCTGACCCCGATGTTATGAAGGTCAAGTTTAAAGAAAGACTGAGCCAAGCAAAGGTGAGGGATGGATGAGTAACAAGCCCAGTAGACCCAGCGTTGGCTTCAAGCTCTAAGGCCATGTTTTTTACATTCAGCAAATTGATGAACAAAGATCTAACACACCTACTATGTACCAGGTACTATATGAGGAAAGGAAATTATTATGACTTTCAGTTCTTAAGTTTTCCTTCACCTTTCCTCCATAAGTCAATATATTCCCTGCCCATTTGACCTGGGTTCCCATTATAACCAGAAGATTTTTTAAAAACGTGTTCGTAAGTGTGTAAGTATGCACCTGGGTGTATATGGGAGCACTTACCATGTAACTGGGTACATGTGGATGCCAGAGGTTGATGCCAGGATGTCTCTCCTCTATCACTCTCCATCTTATTTTTTGAGACATTGTCTCTCAACTGAACCTGAAGTTTGTCATTTTATCTAGACCGGTTACCCAGTGAGCTCCCAGGATCCACCTATCTCTGCCCCATAGCACAACACTGAGTTCCAGGCACTTGACATTATAGCCAACTTTATTTGTTTGTTTATTCAATTTATTTATTTATTTATTTTGGTAAGTTCTTGGGATTTAAACTCAAGTCCTCACTGCTGGATAGCAGACACTTTGCCCACTGGGCCATCTCCCCAGCCCAAACCAGAAGATTCCTAATGAAGATAGCTTGATACTTAGATGGGAAACATTTAAAAGGAAGCTAAGGAATAAGGCCATGGCTCAAGGATAAAGTGTGTGCCTACTATCCCAAGACCCCAGGCTTATCCACACAGCAAAGAGAGAGAGAAGGTGGAGAGGGAGCAATGGGTGGAGGGAGGCATGGAGAAAACTCATGATAATGAAGTATCACTACATCCATTAGAAGACCAAGGGCCTTGGGGAAATGGTCATACCCAGTACCTGGGTTGCCCTGAGCCTAGTCTTTCCCCAAAGCTGACTTTTTAGTGATGATTCATAAGACTTACCTTGGGGTGACGTGTGCCAGTCACGTTCACACAGAAGCAGGTTTCCAACTCCACAGACATGGCTACTTCCTCTCTCATAAGCAGAATTCACTGGAACAAGGAGGGGACATGCTGATCAGTCCTTCTACACTGGACACGGAGGAACATATGATGGCTGAATGTGCTCACAGTGGTAAGAAGGGTGACCCATGCCAAGACTTTGCCTCTGAGGTTCTACAAGACCCAAGGTTAAGAACTTGGGTAAAAAAAAAAAAAAAGGACTAAAATACAAAAACCAAACAATGAAAACTAGTTAGGGGCTGGAAAGATGGCTCAGTGGTTAAGAGCACTGGATGCTCTTCCAAAGGACCTGGGTTTGGTTCCTAGCATCCAAGAATGCACACGGCAGCTTACAACCATCTGTAACTCCAGTTCTATGGCATTTGGTTGACGGGGGATTTCTTTAGTATGCTGTGAAAATATGTTTCTCTTATTGGTTGATGAATAAAGCTGTTTCAGCCAATGGACAGGCAGGATTTAGCCATGTGGGAAATCCAAACAGGAATAGAGAAAGGTAGTAGGTGGAGTCAAGGGGATGCTATATAGCTGCCAAGTAAGCAAGAGACCTGGGTATCACCGGTAAGCCAAGACCATATGGAGATACACAGATTAATAGGAAGAGAGAGCTAGACAATAAGAAGCTTGAGCCATTAGCCAAACAGTTTATATTTAACACAAGCCTATGTGTGTTTATTTGAGTTTAAATGGTTGTGGAATAAGGGCAGGACAGAAATTTTATCTACATTGGTGCTCCATTTGGTCTCTGAGGGTACTGCACATCTGTGGTGCACATAGATAGATAGATAGATAGATAGATAGATAGATAGATAGATAGATAGATAGAATAAATAAAAATCTCAAAAAATATTTTTATAAAACTAATTCTTGTGATTCAGGACAAAATCATGCTTATGTAACTAAAAACATTTCTCAAAACTGTACTTCACATAGATTTATTTACATACTTACATTTTAAATCTATTTCACTTTATAACTGATTTCACTTGTTAATAAGTTACAAGTCACATTGAAACCGCTTGTAAAAGTGAGCACAAAGGTTCTTTGAAGCTGTAATGTTTTGTGACCATACATGGAGTAAGTATGGCCTCATTTTCCTTGGGACACAGTCCACTCTCTGTATCTGTGTGACAGTGTCACATTCCAGTATGTGTTTATACAGTCCGTGTTAAAGAGGAAAGGCACACACACAGCATAGAATGCAGGGCACTTTTGAAGGGGACACTGCCAAAGGTTCTAGAACTTCTTGCTTGGGAGTAAGCCTCAGCCATATTTTTTAGCAGCTATTTGCCCCAGGCATGTTACTTAACACCTCTGAGCCTCAGTGTCTTAATCTGCAGAACAGGGATAGCAAAATGACTTTTACACAGGATTGATGGTGGAATACCTGTTAAGACATGTGAAATTGAAATAAACCATGAAGACTGAGCGGGAGAAGGGAGACCCACAACCTCCCCCTGGCGTGGGTGGCCTGTCCCGGGCCTGGTACCAAAAGGTTGGCCATTATTGTGGTGAGTAAATATATGGTTTAAGTCTTGTGGAGAGAAGCAGAGCTGAAGAGGTGAAGGTGGTGAGGAGCAGGCTGAGGTGGTAGGACTGCTTGTCACCTGAGGGCATGGTGTTGTCTGGGGCTAGGCTGCTGCCAAGCCCAATGTGTTTGGGCCCTAACACAGCCATGGTCTGTGTTGATATCCATGGTTCCTGTTACACCAAAGGCTGAAGGGATACAACTGCAGAGAGTTGGTCCCGCCCCTCACTGGCTGCAACACTAAGGAGAACTGGCCCTATCCCACACCAGCTACAGCACTGGTGGGGAGGTTCCAAGGGCAGAGGGCAGATATGAAGGGATTAGAAGATGAATGGGATTGAAATACATGATTTGAAAGTCACAAAGGGTAAATTAAAAGTTAAAAAAAAATATGAAATGCTTGAATAAGCCTAGAATGCAATGGACTCCTACACACTAATCATTGTAGTAGCTTAACTATTCTGCAAAGATTCCACCTTCCCTTCCATGGGCAACACTCTCTGGGCTCAGTGACCGGACTTGCTTTTCATCAAAGAAACTCAGCAGAGGTGATACTGCCATTAGAGACAACATGAATTTCTGCTTGCTACTCCAAGCCTTTCCAGCTTCTGCCATAGGAAGCGAATGTCCAGATAGCTTACTGCTCCAAAAAGAAGAACTTTAGATCCAAACAGGATCCATGTCAACCTAGTGCAGCCTTAACGTGGTCAATCCTGTAGATTGAGTGAAAAATATTTGTTTATTGTATAACTCTGGGTTTTGGACCTGGTGTGATATCACACACCTTTAGTCCTAGCATTCAGGGGGCAGACACAGGCAGATCTCTGTCATGGACTATTTATTTAACTATGCATTTATTTAACTATGTAAAGATGTGTGCCAATTGCAAGGTAGGATACATAGGCCAATCTCCAGGCAGGGAGAATAAGTAGGAGGAAGGATTTTGGCTCAAAGAAGAAAGAAAAAGAGAAGACAGGGAGACAACAGGGGCCAGATAGACAGAGGAAGCAGGAAAGTAGGACATACAGAATGAAAGAAAGGTAAAAAGCCCTGAGGCGAAACCTAGATCAATAGAAACAGGTTAAATTAAGTTCAGAGAGCTAGTGGGACAAGCGTAAGCTAAGGCCAAACATTCTTAATTAATAATAAGTGTCCATGTCTTTATTTGGAAACTGGTTGGCAGCCCAAAGAAAATGCAAACTACAGATTTGTGAATTCCAGGACAGCCTGGTCTACAAAATGAGTTCCTGGATAGTCAGAGCTATATAGTGAGATCCTGTCTCAAAACAGATAAACAACAAAATACCAAATTAAAAACAATAAAACAGCTCTCTGGGTTTGGGAATTTGTTTGTTGTGATATATTCCTGTCATAAAATGTAGATAAACTTATTACAATTATTAATTTAATTAGTATTCTCTCTCTCTCTCTTTTTTTTTTTTTTTTTTTTTTTTTTTTTTTTTTTTTTTTGAGACAGGGTTTCTTTGTATTTCTTTGGAGCCTCTCTTGGAACTAGCTCTGTAGACCAGGCTGGCCTTAAACTCACAGAGATCCATCTGCCTCTGCCTTCTGAGTGCTGGGTTTAAAGGCGTGTGTTACCAACGCCCAGCTCAATTATCATTCTCCCACATCTACTGTTTGCTAGGTATCATAACACTAGGAAAAATCACTGAGAGCCTTGTAGGACACACAGATGATTCTGAACTCTTCAGAAGTGAATAGTTTATCACAACAGAAAGTAGTTGGCTGGTGTTAGGACCTTTGGCCTATAGAGGAGCCCAGAGTAAGAAGCCATAGTTTACATTTTTTTCTTTTCATTTAATTGCACGTGCGCGCATGTGTGTGTGTGTGTGTGTGTGTGTGTGTGTGTGTGTGTGTATGTGTGTGAGTGTGTGAAGCTCAGAGGTTGATATCAGATGTCTTTGTCAAACACTTCTCCACCTTATTCTTTGAGACAGGGTCTCTCTGAGCTTGGAGCTCATCTATTCAGCTAGCCTGACTGGCTGTGGAGCTCTAGGGATTTGTTCATGCCCCTCCCCCATTGCTAGAGTTACATCACCATGCCTGGTTTTTACCCGGGTGCTGGGGATCTGAACTCAGGTCCTCATGGTTGCACAGCAAGAAATCTACCCACCTAACCTTCCCCCAAGCCCTTGACTTATGTTTGAAGAATTTTAATTTCCAGTGTTCTCTAGAGCTGGATGATTCTACCCAGCAGCAGTTCATGGTAAACAGGGATTAGGGTCCCCTTGGCTGTCAAATGAGTAGTTGAGTTGCACTGGCACTTTCTTTCTGAGCTTCAGTTTGCCCTTTAAGCAATAGTTAGAGATATTTTCCCCTCACTGTCCTTCCAGTGAAATTCGAATGTCACAGCTGCATTTGATAGGCGCCTCTGTGTGCTCTGTGTGCGTCTGTGCTTAATACATCCAAACAGTAACATCCTCAAACCTATCAACTCCCTTGCCCTCCTCCTTGGGACTGACATTGCCCCTGTGTGGGTAGAGCAATTAGTGTTTGGGCTTTGGAGTAAGTAGTTTCTTTGCAAAGGGCTAACTGCTAAGTGCTCAGTAGTACAGATGCCCCAGGCTTACCACAGCTTGACTTGTTCAGCTTTATGCTTGAGGGAAATGATATGTAATCAGTAGAAACTACTGTTTATTGTTTTTGTTTTTGTTTGAGATGGCATCTCTCTGTGTAACCCTGGCTGTTGTGGAGTTTAATATGTATACTAGGCTGGCCTCAAACTCATAGAGTGTGGCCTGCCTCTGCCCTCTGAGTGCTGAAATCAAAGGTGTAAGCCACCACACCCAGCTTTCAAATTTGTTACTTTAAAGACTGGGAATGTGCTCAGTGATATAGAAACTTGGTTATTTTCCTAGGATGTGTGAGGCCCTGGGTTTAATACTCACCATTACCAAATTGTGTGTGTGTGTGTGTGTGTTTTCTACTATCCAGTAGATAATGTAATGGCAGAGATCTGCCTTCTCGCAGTTATCCTTATTGACAGGCATTTGGTCAGTGTGTAGGGCCCAGGCAAAAGCATTCCATCTAAGACATTCCCAATATCCAAGGACAGAATTACTACACACCCTAAGTTGTTGATTTGCAGCTGCCTAAATGGATAGAAAAAAAAAAATAAAGCATGCCCTGGTTTTACCTCACTGGCAGATAGAGAAGCAATAACCTAAACTAACCCTGCACTAAAAGATGCTCAAACTTCTTGTTTTATTAACCCAAGATTTTAGCTCAGAGATTTACTGCTCCCTCCTGTTTCCCCTGAGAAGATAAAGACAAAGGTAACCAATCAGCTCATCTGCTCATCCTTGGGGAAAAATAAACTTTCCTGAAGGCCTGTGTTGCCACTGAGGTTAGAGCACTGGAAGATGCCATGTTTTTCTTGTGCAAATTAAGACCTTCTCATTGACCTATAGCCCTAAGCAACTGGTGCTAAAAGCTTCTCCCAGCCATTTTAGTTTATTGCTCTGTGTGTAAATCTTATCTGCTTTGCTGATCCTGAGAAACTCAAGCCTCACATTGTATTGCAAAAAGAATTACTGTTGCAAAGGTGTGTGTGTGTGTGTGTGTGTGTGTGTGTGTGTGTGTATCTGCATACACCTCCAGAACTAGGGAAGGAAAACAAGGGGGGGGGGGGAAGGGGAGAAGGAAAAGAATAAAAAGACATGGATAGAAAGATCACGTTATAAATAGATTCTTCCCCCCCCCCCCCGTCAGATTTTAGTTCCTTTGCTTATTTGTAGCGCCTTAAAAAAAAAAAAAAAAACCCAGTGAAGGTTTTAGAAGCTGGTCTCCTAAAGTTTTCCATAATTGCTCTCCCTATGCCTCATCTTCCTCCTCCCAGCTTTCTTTCAATCTTTGCCCGCTCCCTTTCCTCCCCTCCCCTCTCATCTCCCACCAAGTTCTAGTTCCTATATGTAAAGAGAGTATCTGAGGGGAGAAGTCAATGTCACAGCTGTGGCGTTCCTTTATTCACTGCCTTTTGCTTTCTTCCTGGAACACTAATGCATACGTACCATAGCCTTTTCTAGGATCACCTGCCATTTCCATGGATGCCATTTCAATGTCGTCAAGGTAATCTTCATTCTTTCTCCCTAGCATGCCAAAGGGGCTATTACTCCTGTAAGGAAATAGGGATCACATTGAATACGTTCTGCTGATCCATCTTACTATGGATTGAGAAAGCCTAGGAAATTCCTAAAGCACATCTCCGTGCCTATGAGGGTTATTTCTAGAGAGGATTATCTAAGCGGGGAGACCCTCCCTGAGTGAGGACAGCACTGCCCATAACGGGGCCCAAATGAAATCAAAGGAGAACCAAGAAAAATAGGACTGAATGTGTATCCCTTCCCTCTTTCCATCTCTCCCTCCCCTCTCTTTTCCTCTGCTTATCTCTCTGCTTTTCAGCCACCATGATGTATTCTACTTCACCACACTCTCTGTTCCATGATTGGCTGAAACGTTTGAAACCATGAGCCAAAATACATCCTATAGTTTTTGGTTGTGAGCCTAGCCTTTAATGGCTGAGCCATCTCTCCTTCCCGGCCAAAATACATCTTTTCTTCTTTAATTTATGTCAGATTTTTGTTGTTGTTGCAGTGGCAGAAAGTCATACTCTATCCAGCAATATCAGGGTGATAATCCATCATCCATCTACTTGTCCATCCATCATTCATTCATTCATTCATCTTTTCCTGTCATCACTCATTCATAGCTAATCTATCCATCTATTCACCCATTTATCTACCCATAATCCATCTATTCTTCTGTCTTATGATGCTCACTAAAGGCCAGCCCTGCGTTAGGTGTGAGCTAGGCACTAAGGACACACACACACACACACACACACCATGTGGCACAACCCATTTTTAATAGAGCTATGAGCAATTACAAGTAGAAATTAGTGAGCGCCAAAAGACAGGCCAGAGAAATCCAGAGGAAGAATGTGGGGAATTCAGGTTGAGAGTTCTAAGAAGGCTACACGGGGCAGACACATCTCAGAAGGACCTAGAAGGACAGATTCAATGCAGTCAAGAGAGCAAAGGCAGGGGGCACCAGAAATACAGGTGGGAAGCTAGAGAGCACTGGGTGTAGGAGAGAATGCTGCAAACATCAACTCACCTGGGGCTGAGGGGATGCTCAGAGGGCATGTTTGCAAGCATGAGAACCTGAGTTTGAATCTCCAGCATCTGCAGAAAAGCTGGGAATTATGACCCCAGTATTGGAGGGCAGAGATAGGTGGACCCCTGTAGCTCACTACCCATATCCCAGCCAAAATAGTGAACTCGAAGATCAGAAAGACCAAAGACACCCAAAGTCTTCCTCTGACCTCTACATGAACAAGCACAGGTATGTATACACACATGCATAAGCACATGCACATACACACACACATACATACACACACACACACCTCATCCTAGACAACTGAATCAAAAACTAACTTCCTCCCTTCCTCCCTCTCTCCCCCTCCCTTCCTCCCTCCTTCTTTGTTCTAAGAAAGGGTCTCACTATATAATATAGTTTGGTCTTATTGTCACAATCCTCCTGCCTCAGCCTCCTAAGTGCTTATATTATGGTAATATATCACCACTTCTAAAAGAGCCATTTTTTAAAATTCAAATTTATAAATATTATAATTGAAATGGTACATGTAAAATAAGACATATTATTGGTTAAAATTCCATGTAGCAAAATGTATAGGTTAACAACAATTGAAAAAATAACTAACCAAAAAATTTCCAGAGGTCATGTTGTTGACATGACCTTTGGAAAAGTTAGCCCAGGAAAATTAGATTTGGCCAAGCTATGATACCCAGATAATGCTGTCAGGCTCTAAAGCTATAGCAGATAACAGTGACCAAAAATGACAGATGCTAAAACCTTTTATTCATGCTGGCTGATGAGTTGAATGTTTGGTCCTCAGCTGGTGGCACCATTTGGGGGGTTTCTGGACACTTTGGGTGGTGAGCTCTAACTGGAGGAAGTGGCTTACTGCAGGTGGGACCTTGGGGGAGGAATCTTGTCTCTGCACCTCTAACCATCCACTTGATTTCATTCTCTTTGCTACCCACCCACCAGTTTGTGAATGTCTCTCCTCTGCCACATATTCCTATGGCCAAGATGTTCTGCCCAAGAGCATAGGACCAAGACACCACGGGCTTGAACTCTGTGGGCATTGTTTGTTTGCACTGGGCATTTTAGATGCAAAGGTAATCAATGAATGTTTCTAATTGAAACCACCGAGACCAACTCCCACTGGCTTAATGGGCATCACAGTGAGGGGCATTGACTTGAACTTACCTCCTAAGGACTCCCAGTTTGGAAGAGCCATAACCATGACCTTCCTCAGCACCTGGATAATCAGGTTCTCCCCAAAAGTCTGGAACATTCTTTGAGTCCTCAGCACCAGGATAGTCTGGTTCTCCGTAAAAGTGGGGTGAGTTTGGCTGATTATTAGCACCTGGGTAATCTGGTTCCCCCAAGGTGTCTGGGTAGGATTTGAGTCTGGAACCAGCATGACCAACATCTCTTCTGGAGCCTGGCAGGTTGGAACTGGCCCTGGGGCCAGGATGGTCAGAGTTGCCCTGAGCTCCAGGGTAGTCTGGTTCTTTCAAGGATCCCAAATAAACTAGATTGTTTCTGGAACCTGCATAGCTCATGCTCCTTCTGACTTCTGCAAAACCAGGATGGTGCTGAGAGTCAGGGTAGTCAGGTTCTGGGGATGAGCCTGAGTGGTAGGGATCACTCTGGAAGTCATTATAGTCTGGCTTAGGTAGAGACTCATGATAGTCTGGCTTTGTTCTGGAATATGCAGAGAATGACGGACTCCTCGGGCTATGATAGTCTGTGTTACTCGGAGATCCAGGGTAATCTGCTTCCGCTGGAGAGCTGGGGTAGTATGGATTTGTTCTAGAGCGGGAAGAATATGGGTTGCTCCTGGGATGGTGGAAACCTGAATTGTCCAGAGAACCTGGGAGTTCTAGGTGATCCTGAGGTTTCAAATGGCTCTGTGTATAGTTTTGAGACTCTGAATAGCCAGGATAGTCAGCATGCCCCTCGTAGGTGCTATTCCTGTGAAAGGCAGACATGATGCCAAAAAGTTTTCACCGGGTTGTGTTAAAGCATTGCCACCTCTGTAGCAACTCAGGAACCTAACCTGAAAAATAAAAAAGGAAGGGAATGGTCAGTTACTTTTCTTCCTCCCTTGCATAAATTGCTACATTTCTTCCTATAGTGAGACATTCACCCTGCCCGTACCTGTTGCACTAACCACGCCCATTGGGGTGGGGACAGGTGAGGACGTGACCTGGGAGAACTAGGTCTGGGAGAACTAGGTCTGGGGTCGAGGACCCTAGAGACTCTCTCTTGCTTTCTGCTCCAAGACAAATAATATCTGGAGATATCCTTGGGACATCTGTCTCTGTTGTGATTTCTCCCTGAATAAACATCTATCAGCTTATCTGTCACCCACCCCCATATCTTCCAGTATCTGATAATTGGGTGTTGAGGTGCCAAAAATAGTTACTGCCTTTTGTAGCCTCCCCACACCTGTGATAAGGCTATAAATGTGCTCAATGGCAGGCCAGTGGAAGCATTATCTTCAGCTTCCAGATCACACTGTTAAAGGACTGAAGTCATCCCCGTTTCTCAGCTTTTTACTTTCTGTGTGCTGGAATGGAGCTATCAAATGGTGCTCTTGGGTCATGAGAAAGGCCGTCTTCTCTGTAGGAACAATAGCACAATATATGGAGAGTTGAGTTGTGGGCAGCTCCCCTGGGCAAAGCACAGGAACACAAACTACTACAGAGGAGAGAGTAAACCTATGACTTTTCTCAAAACACTGATGCCTACAATCACAGTTGTATCTTTAATAGTATATCTGTATGATTTGGGATCATCAACCAAAGATTAGAAAGAACAAAATAAGTTGTTTGAGACAGGGTCTCATGTAACCCAGGCTGGCCTTGAGCTCACTGTGTAGCAGTGAGCTTGAACCCAAGTTTAAGGATTACAGACTTGTGCCACCATGCCTGGTTTAAGCCATGCTGGGCTTCACACATGCTAGACAAGCACTCTACCGATTTAGCTTCACCCCAGCCCTCGGAACCGAGACATCTTTGAGCTGTTTGTTTGCTTACTTGTTTGTTGAAACAAGGTCTAACCATGTGGCCCAGGCTGGTCTGGAATTCACATGCTCCAGCCTCAGTCTCCCAAATGTTGGATCACAGGTGTGCACCACTGCCTCTAACCTTGAACATTTTGGTTGCTCTTGTGTTTCTAGGGTTAAGAGCATAAAGCTCCGTGCATGCACAAAGAAAGAATAGCTTATGGAACTGAGACAGAAGGCTCAGGTAAGGACACCAGCTAGGATCCCTTCTTGTTTGAAAATGTAAATTTATCAGTTCCATGAACTCTTCAGATGGGGAGAACTCTAGTCAAGTGATAAGGTTTTCTCTGGATGTCCCTTCTCTGGCAACAATGCCTTGATTTCTCCCTTGAAATCCTCCTCACTCCCACTTAGTGCAGGTGGTATAGAAGCACAAACTGTCCAACCAATGTCCTATGAACACATAACCCTAGCCTGACCAATCAAGACCCACCATTTCTTTGCCCACAGGGTTTGGCTCAGGAATGGATGGGTTCTAGACTAGACTTGCTGAGGAGGAGATGCTCCTCTCCCAAGGAGGTAAAAAAGCTTGGCCTAGAGATACTGGTGTGGTGTCAGTGGGGGCTGAGAAGAGAATAGTACACAGAGAAGAAAGTTCACAAGGAGAGCCAGTTGCTAAGCTGGTAGGGGAAGTAAGGAAAGTAAAACACAAACACACCGCTGCTGTTTCATGCCTCAGTGATTAGGTAAATGTGGATGCCTTCAAGAAGGAAGTAGGAGATTTTCAGACTTGGCCAATTTAGACAAGTATATCTCTGTGCAAATGACATGGGTTAGGCTTTGAGTAACCAAAGCTTTAGAAAATATTAACTCTCTCCTCTTAGCTATCTATGCCTTCGGAACATTTGGAGGCTGACTCTATTCCTTGTGGCTCAGCACCAGGGAAGTCAACTTTCATTTCTTCCTTCCTGGCGCCCATTCCTCTCTGCTGTGGAAACACATCTCCTTGGGAAGCATTTCTCTTTATGCCTATCCCGTATGGGCTGGATGTGGTGATCAGGGGAGGGCATATCACCCAAGCAGAATTGGAGAGTCAATCCTAAGAGCTTTGTTTTGCTGGAACTGTAGTTAGGCAGTTTAAGCCTGAAGCTTCCACTAGTCACCAATGGGAAGGTTTGCCTAAAAGTGATGCCCACAGGGAGAGAGCAGGGCAAGAGATACACAGAAAAAAGAGTGCTGGGGATATGCCCGAAGCCATTGGATCCAGCCACTCCTAAAGCAGATAAACACTACATGCCTATGTCATTGCATTCCCCTTCTGACATAATTTAGGGTCAAGTTGCTAATTGCCTATGAAATAGAAGAATCTTAACTACAACATGACCTTTGCAAGTAGGGACATTTATTCACACTGTAGTGCTATGAAGACCTATCGCTATGCTATGCTGCAAATTATTTTTCTTAACATGGTTTGGAACTCATTTGTTTCGTTGTAGCAATTACCATGCCAGTGCTAGGAATTCCCAGAGTCTACATAAGGCCAAGGTCTTATATCCAAGTAAGGCCTAGTATATTCAAGAGAAATAAATATATCCACCAAAAGATGACAAGTCATGTGACCTTGTAAAGAAATGTTGTACTCTATGAAATGTCTGTAACTTTGGAAACCTTGTGAACTGGGACTGGTGGTCTTAAGCCTCCCTTTCCCCTTTTCCTTTTAAAGACCCTTCCCAATTGTAAGCAGGTGCCTTACTCTTCTGATAGAGTGAGGTCCCAGCCAGGTTGGTTCTTAGCAATAAAAACCTTTTGCTTTTGCAGTTGGGAGCCACTTCCTTGGAGGTTGAGGAAACCTGGTAGGCACAACAAGGTTATATTATCTGACTTAAATGTTGATGAGATACTAAAATGAAAGTGGTTAGGAACACCAGAACTTGGTGTCAGGTAGAAAGGACTTTAGTTCCCATTGGCTGACTATGTGGCTGTGCTGGGTACCTAACCTCTCTGAAGTCTGTTTGTATGCCCACCTAACACTTAGCTCAGAAGCTAGGCACACCAGCTGCTCTTGCAGATGACCTGGGTTCAATAACCCACATAGTGGCTCAACCTCCAGCTCTCAGAGATCCAATGTACAGCATGCACATGGTACACAGACATACATGCAGGCAAACACCCACACACATAAAATAAAAATACAAAATAAGAATATTTTATATGCCCTTCATAAAGAGAAAGGAGGATCCATTAACTGGACATACTCAGTTCCATGGAAACTCTCCCCTCAGCCCTTACTTTTCTCATTGTGTCTGCAATAATAGGAATTGTGCCCAATAAAATGTAGTGGACAGATCTCACAGGGAACTGCTGGCCTCACGGCTTTCAGGAAGCAGGCTTCTGTAAATCGGTTTATTTTGTTGACTGACATATATTTTACAGAGTACATACTCCCTGGGGTTGTGTGTGCATTGGACAATGATCAACTCAGAGCAAGAGCTTATCATTGTCTTAAATGTCAATTGTTTCTTGATGGTGAAAGCACACAGAATCTTTCTCTTGAAATGTGTGATGTATTCTTATTAGTTATTGTCCTCTATAGAGCTAGGATGGCCTCTTCCAGGAATGGGTGACAGGTAGATATAAGTGGCTCTAATCTCTGGTGCTGGCCTCACCTGAACATTCCAAGCTTACTGACTGCAGGCAGAGATGAATGTCCTGAGATGAGGGGCGGCCTCTGACACAGAACTGAAGGAGCATGTACATATGTGCAAGGTGGGCGCAAATGCCTTCTTGGTTTATTTTCTCTTAAGAACATAAAAAAAAAAATCAGGAGACTACACTGAATTCTGGAGACTAGAAGAGTTAAGCCCTACAGCCAGACTTCTGCATCTGGGGGTGGGAGTGGGGAAGGGGGCTGTATCCACTCACTGAAGGAAAGTATTTGAAAAAAGAAATCACACTTATCTTGACTAAGCCTGCAGACTCTCTTTCTCGTCACTATTCTCTAAGTATATTGTAAGAACATTTATATAACATTTACATTGGATTTTCTGCTGTAAGTCATGCAGAGAGGGTTTAAATTAGACGGGGTACACCTAGCTTCGATGCAAATGTTGATATTTTATATAAGGGATTTGAATACCTGCATATTTGATGTCAGCTGGGTCCTAGAGCCAGTCCCTCACTGGTGCTGAGGGATGACCGCCTGATACACATTATTCATGAATGCTATTTAAACATTTAAATACATTCTATATATAACACAAATGATGTGTGCTGCCCATATGTAAAACACCATAACCTATGTTTCAGTTTAATGTAAGCCAGGCTTAAAAATCTACCCTTGCTGTTAGTTCTAGTAGCTAAAATTAGGAAACCACTATTAAGAGGTGTGGCTTTGTTGAAGTAGGTGTAGCCTTGTTGAAGGAAATGTGTCACTGGGGGTGGGCTTTGAGGTTTCAGATGCTCAAGATATGCCCTGTGAGGTACTCAGTTCACTTCCTGTTGCTTGTGGATCAAAATGTAGGACTCTCAGCTCCTTCTGCAGAACCATGTCCTACCATGATGATAATGGACTAAATCTCTGAACTGTAAGCCAGCCCCAATTAAATATTTTCCTTTGTAAGAGTTGTTATGGTCAACCCTTGATAAGTCAGTCATAGTCTAGTAGAAGACCACACGTCCAAGAATATATGGGCAACACAAATTGGACCTGATATGTGTTTAAAACAAAACAAAACAAAAGACAAACAAACAAACCATAAAACTAAAAGAATTTACAAAATTGGGTAGGTAGTAAAGAGGGGGATGAATATGATCAAAATATATTGCATTAAATTCTCAAAGAATTTAGAAAATTATATATATATATTTATATTTATATTTATAAACAAATAAGTAAAATAAAAATCTGTTTTTTAAAAAAAGGCCTTAACAGAAAGCATTTGATAAGACTCAGTGAAAAAAACAAAAGGCAAGCGTTTTCTTGATTCATAGTCATTT